TTTCCGGCGTGTACTGCACGAGGACGGGGTTGCGGCGTTAGATGTGTTGCTTTGATTTACATAATTGTGTTTTTTTTTTAAAAAAAAAAAAAATTCCTCGGTGATAATGGACTGACTATCTCTTCATGATATTCCTACTCCGTACTGTGTACGGAGTATACCTTACAACTTCGCTGTCTTGCCCTTGATTGGTCTTACCCCTGACAGACAGCCCTGCAGAGTACCTGACCCACCCTGAAAGGCTGGGGGTTCAACTTTTTTTTATCAAGAAATCCATACAAAGACTTCAGAATGATCAATAATAGTCAATAGTGTAACCAGAACTAGACAATGCCCAAACTTGGCTGACTGGGTGTATATATAGAAGGGTGACATATGTAAGTGTGTTATAAGCAAATATATGCAGAGAGCAATGCCTACTAAGGGAATAAGGGGAATACACATACTCGAATGTTCTTATTGTTCTAGGCTATGCTGTATTTAGTGTAGACCGAAGGCGTGCCCAGACGTGAACCAAAGTACGTTACCTGTACTTGACTGTTACAGCTCTGGAGACGTGAAAACCCCCGTCACAGCCTGTAATGTACACGTGTATTACACACAATCTCTCTGCCTGCCCTCGTGCTCTTCAATCTCTCTCCCCTTTCATCTCTTCAACATTCTGGCATTCTAGCATTCTCACCATCTTTTCATGCATTATTATTAGACTATAGGTGAAATTTTCTACCGTTTTACATTTTGAACATTCGGTGTGTGGGGGATGATCCGCTATCCGGATTCTCGACTCGCTCCACACCGTCACTTGTTCCGTTAAAACCTTTCTCCGTTTCGATATCGGCCCATGAGACGTCCTCCGCTACCTCCTTCGCTTCTTCGATCGTTCACCTACCCTTCAATCTTTGTGCTGACAGCTCCACGATGCGGTGGCGGCTGCCGGGCGCCCGTACGACACTCCCCGCCAGTGTCGCACTCCTCTTACTACCAGTTCTGGTCGCTCCGCTGCAGCAATCAGATCCTCATGACTCCATCTCTCGCGTCTCTGTGCCACTAGCACAAGAGTCATCAAAACAACATGCGGCCCATGTGGCCGCACCACCCATCGTGAAACCCAACGATGCGAGCGCCCTTGCTACTCTGGCTCTGGCAGGCTCCGGCCGTGCCGTTCGAGCCCCTCCTGTCCAAGCCAGCAGCACGTCTGCAGGCTTGGCTTCGCAGCTTCACGCGCGGTCCTTGCAGGACTGGGAGGTTGAGGATTTTGTGCTGCTGGCGACCGTCGACGGAACTATTCACGCCCGTGATCGCAAGACCGGGACTGCTCGCTGGGCCCTGGAGGTCCCGAGTAGTCCAGTGGTCGAAAGCATCTACCACCGTGCGAATCGTTCCAGCTTTGACGATACAGAGCCTGAAGACGACTTTTTATGGATCGTCGAGCCGAGCCAAGATGGCAGCCTTTATATCTACAGCCCCGCCCCAGACGCCGGCTTGCAAAAGCTCGGTTTAACTGTGAAGCAGCTTGTTGACGAAACTCCATATTCCGGTACCGACCCTGCCGTCACCTACACTGCTCGGAAAGAAACTACACTGTACACCATTGATGCCCGGACTGGTAGCATTTTGCGGGTGTTCAGTTCTCGTGGTCCCATTACCGCTGCACCTGAATGTCGGAAGGTGAACGGGGAAGATCCAGACTCTGATGAGTGTGAGTCCACATCCGGTACTTTGGTTCTTGGTCGGGTTGAATATGCCGTCGCCATACAAAACACTGAGACTGGAGATCCAATTTGCACCTTGAAATACTCTGAGTGGGCACCGAACAACCGTGACATGGACCTACAGAGCCAGTACTACAGGACAATGGACCAAAGCCATATTTACAGTATGCATGACGGCATTGTGCTGGGATTTGATCACTCGCGCATGGATCGGCCTCGCTATACCCAGCGCTTTTCGTCCCCTGTGGCCCGAGTCTTTGACGTGGTTCGTCCTGCCAACAAAAATGCACCAGATGCCTCGACCCCGCTAGTCCTACTCTCACAACCCCTCCAGCCCCCGGATCCAGATTATGGATCTCTTGACGATGATAGGGACATGCGCGTATTCATCGATTGTACTGATGCAGGGGGCTGGTATGCCTTTTCAGAGGAAACCTATCCCCTGGCCACAGGCCGCGCACCCATGGCTCAATGTTATGACAAAGACTTTTTCCGCCGGGGGCAGGCACTCATGAGTTTGACTGCGCGTCAACAACGGAATGCGTTGGCCGGTGTTCACTCTCTCACTGGCCCTCGTATCATCCGTCCCCATATCCCTAGAATTGCTGGGTCGTCTACCTCCGAACTCTCCAATGACACACCACGGGACATCCTTCGCAGTCCTTCTGAGCTGGCTTTGCCTCCCGCCTTGCGAAATAGCGCCATCATTCGCAAGAGCTGGGACAATGCTTTGGACATTGTTGTAACGTTGATTTTACTGTTCATCTGCACCTTCATCTACTTCAACTCACATCACCTGCGCGATTTGGCGAAGCAGAAATTGGACATCAAGAACATCATCAACTCCAATGATAAGCCTTCGCTCTCGACCCCTTCCACCCCTCTTGTCGACGGTGCCCCGGATATAAAGCGTTCATCTACACCAACCCAACAAGTCCCCAATGTCACAGTCAATTTAGATTTGGATGATGCGTCGCCAGAGGGTGGATCAACACCGCGTGCCTTGCGAGACTACACTCCAGACTCCACCCCGCGGGTTAAGATTCGTGAGCCGTCACGTGGGCCTGACGACGAGGATGCCGATGAGCCTGGAAAGCCGAAGAAAAAACCCCGCGCTCGTGGATCTCGAGGAGGAAAGTCACATCGTCGTCGCAAGAAGCCTGAAAGTGAGGGTGATAGTCCCGAGGGGGCCGATCAGGTCGTGGAGCAGGTCAATAACCTACCCTCCCAACCTCAACTTGAGCCTGGTGTCCAGATGGTCCGGACGATCTCGAACGAGGTTATAGAGATGGATGGCGTTGTCCGTGTAGGCCGGCTTCAGGTTTTCACGGATGTTGTGCTGGGACATGGCAGCCATGGAACTGTGGTTTACCGCGGTTCCTTCGATGGACGAGATGTCGCTATCAAGCGTATGTTGATGGAATTCTATGACATTGCATCCCACGAGGTGGGCCTATTGCAAGAAAGTGATGACCATCATAACGTGATCCGATACTTTTGCCGTGAACAAGCCGCCGGGTTCCTGTATATTGGCCTCGAGCTTTGTCCAGCATCTCTTCAGGATGTGATTGAGCGTCCCACTAGCTACCCAGAACTAGTCCAAACTGGGCTAGATCTACCCGACGTACTACGGCAGATCACCCAGGGTGTACGTTACTTGCACTCATTGAAAATCGTCCATCGTGATCTGAAGCCACAGAACATTCTCGTGGCTATGCCGCGTGGCCGCTCTGTTTCGCGGTCACTCCGGCTTCTTATCTCAGATTTTGGCCTATGCAAGAAACTTGAAGACAACCAAAGCTCGTTCCGGGCAACCACTGCCCACGCTGCTGGTACTTCTGGCTGGCGTGCTCCTGAGCTCCTGGTGGATGATGATGGTCCCATGTCTCTCGCATCCCAGCACACCGAATCATCGGAGCCCGCTGTGGTGGACCCGCAGACCAACCGCCGCGCCACTAGGGCTATTGACATCTTCTCACTGGGTTGTGTGTTCTACTACGTCTTGACCCGTGGCAGTCACCCATTTGACAAGAATGGCAAGTTTATGCGCGAAGCCAACATTGTCAAGGGCCAATTCGATTTGGAAGAATTAAACCGCCTAGGCGACTACGCTTTCGAGGCGGATGACCTCATCCGTTCGATGCTGTCTCTGGACCCTCGCCAACGGTAAGAATCCTGCTTTGCAGAATCGCCTTCAATGTACTAACGTGAATTTCTAGTCCTGATGCAAGCGCTGTATTGATGCATCCGTTCTTCTGGCCCCCATCAGACCGTCTTACCTTCCTCTGCGATGTATCTGACCACTTCGAATTTGAGCCCCGCGACCCTCCATCAGACGCACTGCTCTGCCTGGAATCAGTGGCTCAGCGCGTAATGGGCCCTGAAATGGATTTCCTACGCTCGTTGCCGCGAGATTTCAAAGACAATCTTGGCAAGCAGCGGAAGTACACCGGGGGGCGGATGCTGGATCTCTTGAGGGCTCTCCGCAACAAGCGCAATCACTACAACGATATGCCTGATCATCTTAAAGAGAATATTGGCGGCTTGCCTGAAGGATATCTCAATTTCTGGACATACAGGTTCCCAAGCTTGTTGATGAGCTGTCATGCGGTCGTTGTCGAGCTGAATTTGACTCGTAATGATCGCTTCCGCAGGTACTTTGTGCCTCCGGAATAGATTTTTGTTTCAGGGGTAATTTTTGGAAATCATATATAAGAACTATTTTAAGAAGTTATCTCATCTGTACTCCGTACTCCGTACTCCGTAGACTGTTCGCCAATAATGATCTACAACTATAACTTTACAGTACAACATACTCTGTACATCTGCATCATACAACTGTAGAATATCAGCCTGCATGGATTGGATCTAGGCAAAAACAAAATAGCACGAATGAGCCATTTCAAAGCTTCTAAGGTTATTATTCTCGATTAGATAATAATCGTTCTGCGAATGGATGTATCTCATAGACATGGAAGATAAGTGGATCGTGGATATGTCTATATATGTGCTGCGCCAGTTTCTTCCGCATTCCCTCACTTTTTTTCCCTCTCATCCACTCACCCTACACCATTCCGTTTGGTGTTTGGCGCCTTGTCTTTTTGAGAAGACATGTGTGTCTGATAACTTCATATTTCTTAATTTGCTTCCTACCATTAACTACCGCTCCGCACCAGCTCTACCAGCTCTACCATTTTCACTTGTACCTTCACCTCCCCCCACGCGTCATTCCTCCCACCAAAACCACCAGCTACATGCAACTCTACTGGATATCCTAAAATTGACACAATGGTCTTTCTTCGACTTTCAATCAAAGTCTTCCCGCGGGAGCAGCTGAGTTCAAACTCGACCTCCAGTTGGGGCAGGTCCTTCCTTGGCGCACGAAGGTCTACGAACGATGACTCTAGCCAGGGCTCTGCAGTCTCCACGATATTGAAGAAACCCGGGGTCTTCCTGCTTGTCCTTGAACAACCCGAAGAGGTTTCGCTCGGTGGACTTGCGGGCATGATCCAGGAGCATTGGACAAAGCTTCACCCAGAGCTAGAGTGAGTGTTGTCATACTTGCTGCATGAGAAACTTATCCGGTCTATCGAACGCCAATTGCTAACTATATTGGTTGATAGACCCCTTTCAATCAAGAAAATCCTCGACGATACAAAGGAGGATATCGACCTCCACCCCGATTTGACTGTTGCCGATGTCTGGGTTGACTATGGAAAAGCTCGCACCGACGGCCTTGACCAGCGTGGCACCGTTCGCGTCCTTCAAAAGCCTACCTCTGCTGCCCCGGAGCGATTCCCCTCTGTCGACCAGGATTGGGATGCTGCTATTGTGGCCTACGAGCACAAGCGTGCGATGAAGGTTAAAAAGGAAGCCATGGAGAGTCAATTCCCTACCATTCAGGAAGAAGATGAAGAGAGCAACGCCCAATGGCGGGGTAGTCACTCTCGATCTCTCTCTCAATCTCAGTTCCAATGGGAACATGCACCTGAATCGCCTCAGCGTACCAATAATAAGCGTCTTGCCTCAGCTCGGAAGTCACCAATTGAGCACCGTCAGCGTGATTTACCTGTTCCTTCTGTTGAAATCCACAGTCCTGTCACCACTTTCCCTCCAGCAAAGTCTGTCGGCCCTACAATTGCTGGCACGCCGCCTCTCAGGCGCGAAAGTGAGGAGCTCGGTGAGTCTCCATCACCAGCTGAGCGACGAACCTCTATCACCAGATCCAAACATACACTTGGAACTGTAGTTGCCGGGTTCCCAGAATCGCAGCACATGCCTCTAAAGCTCGTAAAGCCACCCATTGCGAGTAGCACAGCTACGCGGACAATTACACAAATGCCCGAGGAGGCCCGATCCCCACCTATTTCGTCTGCGCCCAAATTTCCCCACCAACAGACGCAATCTACTGAGGAGGCTACTGCAAGCTCAAGTGACGGCGAATCACAACCTGTTCTGCAGCATAACGTGAAAATACAAGTCACGGGCTTGACCCACGGAGTTGATGGACAAGGACATCATCTGACGGAAACAGTGGCTAAAATTGTAGCGCAATCCCCACAAAAAGTGCAAACGGAAACGGTGATCGCGATCTCGAGTGAGGAGTCAAGTGAAGAGGAAAGCGACAGTGAGGATGGCAATGTTGAAGTGAAGAAGAAGAAGAAGAAGACTGCCGAGCAGGATCAAAGAGAAACAGAAGACAAGACTGGTTCCGGCGACTCTGACTCTGACTCTGATTCCGACTCTGATTCCGACTCTGATTCCGAATCCGAATCGGACTCTGACTCTAGCGAAGAGAACGGACCGAAGGATGAGCCAATTACTCCTCGGATTGATTATCGCATCCCTATTGTCAAGGATGGAGTTGCGATTGATGCAGAGGGCGATGTACAGATGGAAGGGCACATGGTAACTACGGGCCCCGAGTCCTCACATCACTCGGATCCCTCAATTCTGAAAACCAACGGGACAACCCATGATATTGGATCTCGCAAGCGGAAGCAGGCCTCTGGAGAGCTCACATCGGTCAAAGAAGCTCGCCAAGGACAGGCCCATCCTTCAACCCGGCCCCCATCTACCCCTCCTCGTTCTTTGTCTGCAGTCGTTGTGCCCTCTGGACAGTTCCGGCAGTCCCAGTCCCAGTCACCAGGTGCGCAAAGACGGATCCGTGCGCCTTCCTTCTCGAGCCCGGCTCGCAAAGCCAGCGTTCGAGAGCAAAACAGAATGCCCCCTAAACCTCCCCGGTCCGGAATTGGGTTGGGGATTACGCAGAGCCCTCCTAGCCATCAGCCCGTCGCGGTGGTTCTTTCGCAAGAATCTAACGTAACGTCCACCCAGAGTTCTTTTGGCGGACCGCTTTTCCCAAGTAGCAAAGTGACTGTTACCGATGCGGGTTCTTTTACTGCTGTCAATAAACAGACTCCTGCGATCGACAGAACGAAAGCGCTAACTTCCGCTCTCCGTGCCAAAGATTCCCCGTCAGTGGAGAGGCGATCCGTGTCTTTCGCTGAAGGAGAGAACCTTGCATCTAGCTTTGATCCCGCTCCACGCTCCACCCCACGCAATACTACGATCAGCTCCAAATCTACTCCCACTGCCGTCACTAAGGGGACGCCTTCGAGCGCAACCCCACGAAATGTTACGTCCAAGGCCAAGCCTGCCCGACAAACGCCCACCCCCGTTGTTCAACCTACCGCGGGAACACATTCTACCTCTACGTCTAGCAAGGTCACGCCTAAAGCCAAAGCTAATAACAAAACACCCAAATCTACTTCCAATCCTACTAGGACAACACCATCCAGCAGCGATATGGTCTTCCCACCCGGCTTTGATATCGAACAGTTGACTCAGCAAGTTGAGAGAGAAAAGCAGATGAAGACAAAGGCTGAGACGGACGACAAAGTACAAAGGGACAAGGAAACAACGGAGAGAATGGAAATTGAGCGCAAACTTCAGGAAAACTTCGATCCACAGCTTGTGATCATTTTAAGTGAGATGCACAGCCTCTTGCAAAAAGTGGTCAACACCAATATCCAACTGGTCAGGCGCAAACAGCTCCGCGTCAGACTTGAAAGCTTGCGCCACGATCTTAAAGCCTGCGAAGAGCGATTAGAAGCGACGAAATCCACCCCTCGGGAAACCGTCGCAAAGAAACCAAAACCAACTCTCAAGGACATGCTGAGCAGCCAAAAGCAGGAAATAGCTGCCAAGCTCCGACCTGAGCCCAAATCCGCCCCAGCTCCCCGTAGTGACGTGTATGAAGTGCCCAGCTCCGGCGAGTCCGAGTCCGAGTCCGAGTCTGACTCTGATTCCGACTCCAGCGGTGAGTCGGGCGACATTATGCCCGATGGCCATTCAAACAAACTGCGCAAGCCCCGATCTCGGTCCAATTAAGATGTACGGTTTGCTTTTCGAGATATCCTATTGTTTTGCATGCATTCGATGCTATGCTTTGTTATCCCTATCAACATCACAATAATCCTGTACATTCATTATTTTCACCAGTGTATGATATTGTACCAATGCTGAATACGAAATGTACTTTTCATTTCAAATAGTGTGGTTGAACCCAGTTGAGATTAGAGACACACGATTTGTATTTTTGTACAAAGTAAAGGGTAGATATCGACTCTATACTGGTCTTTGCATCTGTTCCGCGGCATTGAGGTTCAAAAAGGTGTTTGGATACTCGGTCTTAATTTCCGGCTCGGACATATGATCTACAATCCGATGCGATAACCATTCATAGGAATTACATGGCTTTTTGGCCACTCGGTTACAGGGTGATTTTAGCTGGTGGTATCATGTTGATCCTAATTTGCCATTGCTTCAATTTTGGCATAGCTCAATGTTCAACAATTCAAGCAAACGGTTAGTTGATCAGTCCCCTCACTACTCACTAATTCGAACTGTTATATTACGTATTTTGCGTCGGCGATCGCTCACTATTCCTAATCATGGCAGCTGTAATGCCCAGGTAAGTGTTGCCACCACACACGGCGAGTCTCACTCTAATGTAACGCAGCATCGGATACACGCCACACCCCACGGCAATGATGAAGGCAGCGCAGTGGATGGGTACACGAGCTATCGAAGTGGGAGTCGTACCCAAGCCCAAGATCACAGACCCCAGCGACGCCATCGTCCAAATCACGCACTGCACGATCTCCGGTTCAGACATCCACCTGTACGAGGGCGAGCTCAAAGACGCAATGGAAAAAGGTGACATTCTCGGCCAAGAAGCCATCGGCGTCGTAGAAGAAGTTGGGCCCAATGTGAAAATCCTCAAAGCCGGTGACCGGGTCATCATCCTACCCGTCATCTCATGCGGTAGCTGCCAGTATTGCCAGCGACAGGAGTACTCGCTCTGCGATAATACAAACCCATCCAGGGAAATGGAAGCAGCCTACGGCCACCGAGTCGGCGGCAAACTGGGCTACAGCCGGCTCTGTGGTGGGTATCCAGGCGACCAGGCGGAGTACTGCCGCGTGCCGCATGCAGACTTGTCGTGTGTCCGGGCGCCGCCGAATATTGATGCGCGGAAATTACTGGGTTTAACGAATGTCGTGACTACGGCTTGGCATGCGCTGGAATTGGCTGAGGTGCAGGATGGGGATGTGGTGGGTGTATGGGGTTGTGGGCCTATTGGGCTCGCAGTGCAGCGACTGGCGAAGCTCCGCGGGGCTAAGAAGGTCTATGCTATGGATAAGGACGCGCAGCGACTGCGGATTGCGGAAGATTTCGGCATGACTCCTGTTGATGTGGATGCTCATCCGGATGTGGCCGAGTATATCCTGTCGATTCAGGACAATGGCATTGATCGGTCTATTGAAGCTAGTGGGTCCCGTAGTTCGCAGAAACATGAGTTTCCGGCTATGCGGGCGATTGGGCTTGAGAAGGATAGTGGCGATACATTAGGGGCCATTATCAAGGCAACCCGTAAGGGTGGTAATGTGGCATTGATTGGGGATTTCTTTTTTACAACGCATGATTTCCCAATTGGGCCTTTGATGCAGAAAGCGCTGACAGTGCGTGGAGGTCAAACGTGGCCGCAAAAGGTAGGTCGGGTTCCATTCTTCCGGTCTGAATTAATAGCTTACTAGGGGCAGTATTATCCGTTCTTAATGGACTTGGTGGTGCAGGGCACACTAGATCCCTCGTGGATGTTCACGTATGTGGACGAATTTGAGAATATCGCGGATATGTACCACAAGTTCTCGCAGCATGAGGTTCCAGGCAGACTGAAAGTGTGTTTAGTGACGGCCTTTGGACGCAGTGAACAGATGCAACCCACCAGCGACCTACCAGTCGACGTCCGAGGCTCTGACGTTGACGAGTAGTGAGATGTAGTCAGCGAAAACCTTAAAACATCTCCGATATAAATAAGCATTGACCGCCGCGGGGATTGAGCACTCCACAATTCTTCATCATGTTTCCCCCACCACCCATTGCACTTGATTGGAATAATATAGGCTTTAAAGTCCGGGATGGTGAGCAATTGCCCTTTAGTAAACCACAGTAGATTCTCATCCATATCAGGCAATGGCCATGTTGAAATCCACTTCTCTCACAGCGGGGAGAACAAATGGTCAGCACCACAATTCGTTACCTCGCCCTTCATGCCAGTGCATGGGATGGCGCCGGGCCTAAACTACGGCCAGCAAGTCTACGAAGGTCTTAAAGCCTTCCGTCACCCATCCAACGACAAGATAACCATTTTCCGCCCCGACCGCAACGCCAAGCGCATGCAGTACTCTGCCGAAGTAGTCTCCATCCCGCCTGTTCCGGAGGATCTGTTCATCGAGTGCGTGGGGTTAGCAGTTGGTGCAAACGCCGAGTACGTACCACCCCACGAGTCCGGCGCCGCAATGTATGTCCGACCCGTGCTCTTCGGCTCCTCTGCGCAGCTGGGGCTGAGTCCACCGGATGGGTACACGTTAGCAGTATTTGCTATGCCGACTGGCGTATACCACGGATTGAGTGCGGTTGAAGCGCTGATCTTGGAGGACTTTGATCGCTGTGCACCGCATGGGACCGGTGCTGCTAAAGTTGGTGGTAATTATGCACCTGTGTTGCGGCACAGTGACCGGGCACGACGGGAAGGGTTTGGAATCACCCTTCATTTGGATAGTGCGACTCGCACTGAAGTCGATGAGTTTTCGACTTCTGCTTTCATTGGAGTGAAGCGTGACGGAGATCACATCACTGTCATCCAGCCGGATAGCCTGAATGCTATCGACTCAGTTACGGCGGCATCAGTGTTGGAAATTGCCTGCACCCTGGGATATCGGGTGGAGAAGAGGCGGGTTGCTTATGAGGAGCTGCGGGATTTCGATGAAGTTATTGCTGCTGGTACAGCGGCAGCGTTGGTACCTGTGGGTAGTATTACGATGCAGTCCCGTGGTGATAAGTTTGAATACCATTGCGGGTCTCAGAAGGAGGGTGGTGAGATTTGCATTAAGCTGCTGCAGACTCTTCGTGGTATGCAATCTGGAACTGTTGAGGATACCTTGGGCTGGAATTATGAGGTGCAGGCACCTCCGAAGGGTTGGATACAGCAAGAGGAGATTGAGCTGAGTGGTGCCATTGTCCCATAAATGCCTAGATAGGTTCATTTAAAAATACGCTTCAAATTTCCGTAGCCACTTTTTAGTTCCCTAGAAATAAATGTTAATATACCTGTAACGAGATATTGGGCGTAACTAAACCTGAACAAACCCACCCTAGGCATATACTAGCCAGATAATATATGGGCAGATATGATTCGGGAAATTCCAACATTTCGGAGTTGAATTGTTAAGGACTAGAATATGATAGTACATGTATCATTTCATAGCAAGTTAGATATAAGATATAACATGTATAACATATGTTGATGTCTTGGATTAACCGAAAAAGGACTTCTACTCTGTTCGGAGTACGGAGTAGAAGGAGATAGGTAAAGCTAATATAATGCAAATAATACAAACGTTGCAAATATTAAACCAACCCTCTCCATGGAGATAAGGGGAAGTCCCCCTTAATCACCGACACTTATGCTCGGGGTCGGGATATTATACAGTCCGTTTGGATTTGGGCCCAATTATTATTTTAATATTGACTCATCAAACTCGTTAGTGTTTTAAAATTAGAATATTAAATACATATCTAGTATTTTTTAAGGGGTGCAGTTACTCCGTACAGAACCAGTGAATCCGGGGATAAGAGCGTGCCGGCGTGAAGTGCATACTCGTGGAGATTTGACAGATATGCAGTGTACATATGTACTTTATATTTCTATATATCTTGACATTTTGTACTCCGTAACATACTAATTATCAGTTGCCAATAATACATTAAAAATCGACTACAATATAAAATATGAGGTATGGAGTCCGTACGTGGAAAGAGATTTCGGTCGGCGAAACGGAGTCCGTTCCTCCGTTATACATCGGAAAGCCTCCACGCCGATGAAAGAAAGTAGGAAATATGGATAACTCCGGTGCCTTGGTTGTCCGTGCACCGATGGATTTGATTAAAAGGGCTGAGCTTGGCCATGTTCCAAGATCTCAGACTTTTAAACAATTACACAAACTAGTCCGCTCCTCGCCATGGAGAAGGACTATGATGAGCCCGAGTTCGCCCCGATCACGAACCGGACCGCAACTGTACTAGAGGAACGAGAGCAACAGACCTTGACTCGAATTGCATCTACCAAACTCGGTCAACAACTTTCAAGATCGGCAAGCAAGAAAGATGGTCTCGCCCCTCATCTTGATCCCACCAACCCCCAATTTGATCATTACAGATGGGCGCAAATGGTGTTGGACCAGGCCAATGACTCAGGCATTGATATCCCACACCAAGGCGTGGTCTTCTCCAATCTATGCGTGAGCGGTTCCGGTTCCGCTTTACAATACCAGGAAACCCTCACTTCCAGCTTGACGGTGCCGTTCCGAGCTGTGACAAGAGCTTTAGCTGGACATACCTCACCACCAAGACAAATCCTCCACAGCTTCGATGGCGTACTTCAGGGGGGAGAACTCCTTCTTGTTCTGGGTCGACCTGGTAGTGGATGTACGACATTCTTGAAGACTATCTGTGGACACCTTGGGGGGTTGACCGTGGAGCCCCAAAGTACACTCCATTACAAAGGAGTTGCATTTGACCATATGATTAAACATCATCGAGGAGAGGTCGCATATAACAAGGAGGTCGACCTGCATTTCCCCCACTTGACCGTGGGTCAGACACTCACGTTCGCCGCCCATGCTCGTGCACCCCAACAGCGCCTCGAGGGTGTGACCCGCAATGAATACGTTGAGACCATCACTCAGGTGGTCTTGTCCGTCTTTGGATTGTCACACGCCTACAACACCAAGGTGGGCAGCGAATTTGTGCGTGGTGTCAGTGGAGGCGAAAGAAAGCGAGTCAGTATTGCCGAGATGTTTCTCGCTCGCTGTCGTATTGGAGCATGGGATAACAGCACCCGTGGTCTGGATGCCGCATCCGCTCTCAAATTTGTGAAATCACTCCGTCTTTCAGCTGATATGGGGCAATCTTGCCATGCAATTGCAGCCTACCAAGCATCGCAGTCTATGTATGATCTTTTCGACAAGGTGGTCCTTCTATACGAGGGATACCAGATCTACTATGGACCCAGGGAGCGTGCAGTATCCTATTTCCAAGATATGGGCTGGGAGAGACATGAGCGCCAAGTTAGTGGTGACTTTTTGACTGCCATCACTAACCCAGCAGAACGCATGGCACGGCCTGGCATGGAGAACAAAGTTCCCCGCACGGCGAAAGAGTTCTCTGATCATTGGAAAAAGAGCCCAGAGTATCAGCTCTTGCAGAAGGATATTGCCAAATTCGAAAGCGAACATCCGCCAAATGGAAACGATGCGAAAAAACTGATGGAAAGCCACGAAGAGCAGCAAGCGCGCCACACTCGAGCTCGCAGCCCTTTCCTGCTTTCCGTCCCTATGCAGGTGCGGCTTTGTATGCGCAGAGCCTACCAGCGAATGCTTCAAGATCTCCCAACAGCCATGTCACCGGTTGTTGTTCAAATCATTATCTCTCTTATCATTGGATCCATTTTCTATAATACCCCAGACGCACCCAGCTTCTTCTTCCAAAAGGGTGCAGTGATGTACTTTGCTGTGCTTATGAACGCCCTTCTTACTATCAACGAAATCCTTCAACTCTATGCTCAGCGACCTGTTGTCGAAAAGCAAGCGGGATATGCATTTGTCCACCCCTTCACTGAAGCACTAGCCAGCCTTCTCGTCGATCTACCCATTAAGATCATACGAATCTCTATCTTCACAATTGTCCTCTACTTTATGGCAAACCTGCGGCGAGAAGCGGGAGCGTTCTTCACCCATTATCTGTTCTTGGTCACTGCAGTTCTGGCCATGTCTGGCCTGTTCCGCAGCGTCGGTGCATTGACCAAAACTGCTGGGCAGGCCATGGCAATTGCTGGTGTGCTTGTGCTTTGTATTGTCGTTTATACCGGGTTTACTCTGCCACAACCGTACATGCATCCCTGGCTTTCGTGGATCCGGTGGGTTAACCCGATCTACTATACATTCGAGGCGCTTGTTGCCAATGAATTCCATGGTCGAACATTTGACTGTTCCACATTCATTCCGAGTTATGGAACTGGTACCTCCTTCATCTGCTCTACTGTCGGTGCAGTCGCCGGTCAGCGAACTGTTTCTGGTGATGCTTTCATCGAGAAGAACTACCAGTACAAATACTCTCATTTGTGGCGGAACTACGGAATTCTCATCGCCTTTTTCATCGCCCTCAACACGCTCTACTTGGTTGCCACGGAATACCTCACTGACGACAAGTCAAAGGCCGAGGCCTTGGTCTTCCGCCCTGGACATGCGCCCAAGTATCTCCAGGAAGGTCACAGCATCGAGCTTGGAATAGAGGAGGTCAGCAAGCTCGAGCTGCAGACAACCAATGATACCATTCGTCTACCCGAGCAAAAGGACATTCTCTCATGGAACTCTCTCAACTACGACATTCCCGTGAAGGAGGGCACTCGACGACTCTTGGACAATGTCAATGGCTGGGTCAAGCCTGGTAGTTTGACTGCCTTGATGGGTGTTTCTGGAGCTGGAAAGACAACACTCCTTGATGTTCTTGCGCAGAGAGTCTCCATTGGTGTTGTAACTGGTGATATCTTCGTGAACGGCAAGACCCTTGCAGCAAACTTCCCCCGTCGAACTGGATACGTGCAACAGCAAGATCTTCATCTCGACAGTACCACTGTAAGAGAAGCTTTGCGGTTTAGCGCTATGCTTCGTCAACCCCAAAAGGTTACCAAGCAAGAGAAGTATGAGTATGTGGAACAAGTCATCCGTGTTCTAGGCATGGAAGATTTCGCCGAAGCAGTGGTTGGAAACCTGGGAGAGGGCCTCAACGTTGAGCAAAGAAAGCTACTTAGTATCGGTGTCGAACTTGCTGCAAAGCCTACACTGCTTATCTTCCTCGACGAACCTACCAGTGGCCTCGACTCCCAAAGCTCTTGGACTATTTGTCAATTCCTCCGAAGACTCGCAGATAGCGGCCAGGCTGTCCTCGCGACAATTCACCAGCCTAGCGCGCAGTTGTTCCAAACCTTTGATCGTTTGCTCTTCCTTGCTAAGGGAGGAAAGACTGTTTACTTTGGCGATATTGGAAACCAATCCACCACTCTTTTGGAATACTTCGAACACCATGGCGCTCGACCGTGTGAACGACTCGAGAACCCCGCTGAATACATACTGGAGATGGTCGCCGGCGATTCTTGCTCAATAGACTGGGTTGAAGCGTGGAACAAGAGTTCGGAGTATGAAGAGGTACAGGCTGAGATCGAGCGACTCCATCACTCCCGCAAGCCGTCTGTTAATCAACCTTCCCTGGAAGAGACTGAGTTTGACGACGACAACTCCGAGTTCGCCATGCCACTCCACAGCCAGCTGTACTATGTCCTTGCACGAATCTTCCAACAGTACTACCGTCAGCCAGAATATGTGTACTCCAAGTTCATTTTGGGTATTGTATCTGGTTTATTCATCGGCTTCTCATTCTGGAAATCAGACAACAGTCAACAAGGCTTCCAAAACGTGCTTTTCAGTATTTTCCTGCTGTGCACAATTTTCAACTCCCTGGTCAACCAGATCATGCCCAAATTCGTCGTCCAGCGCTCCCTCTACGAAGTCCGCGAACGCCCATCCCGCATCTACTCCTGGAAAGTCTTTATCATATCCCAGATGCTCGTTGAAATCCCCTTCCAAGTCTGCCTCGGCATCTGCTCCTGGGCCTGCTTCTACTGGTCCGTCTTCGGCGCCGACCAAGACTCCGAGCGCCGCTCCCTGATCATGCTCTTCATCGTCCAGTTCTACATCTACGCCGCTAGTATGGCACAGCTAGTCGTCTGCGCAATTCCGGAGCCCGCACTCGCAGCCATGGTTGCCACGCTGATGTTCGGTCTTTCCTTCATCTTCAACGGCGTAATGCAGCCACCTGATAATCTCCCCCGCTTCTGGATCTTCATGTACCGCGTCTCACCATTTACCTACTACATTGGCGGTATTGGGAGCACAGCGCTCCATGGTCGAGCGGTCGAGTGTAATGCAGCGGAGATGAGTGTCTTTGATCCACCTGCTGGTAAGACCTGCTTCCAGTATATGGAGGAGTACCTCAAGACTGCGCCAGGGAAGCTCGCTAATGGTAATGCTACGTCTGGTTGTGAGTACTGCTCTCTCAGCTCGGCGGATCAGTACCTCGCTGTGAGGAAGATTGAGTGGGGTGATCGCTGGCGAAACTACGGAATCTTCTGGTGCTATTTCATTTTCAATATCTTTGCTGCTATTACGCTCTATTACCTCTTCAGGGTGCGGGGCTCCAAGGCCAAGACAAAGAAGGCTTGATTGATCCTCTTGACAGATGGTGCTTGATGGTGTTGCATTTTGCCTGGTGTTTCTTTCATCTTGTTTGGTCTCCATATGGGATCTTTGTTCTTGTACATTTTCTGCATAGTTTGATACCTGGCTTGTTTATTCATAGAAGCCGATAGAAGAAAATTTGTTCAAAATAGCCTTGTTCTTCCTATTTGGCGTAGCTACTTCCATATATACAAGTCAGGAGGTGAGAATCATCGGGTATCAATAGTCCAGAGCTAATAATTGAAAATATTCACTCCTAACATACTATCTAGAGAAGAAAACTCACAATGAAAAAAAAAACGCTTTCCGAAAAGAAGCTTTAAGAAAGAAAGATAAACTACGAACGACGATAGACCCTATAGGAGGAATGAGTTCTCCCAAGTAAATTCCTGTTGCTGTTCTAAGAGAAAGATGGATGATCTGAACTAAGAGATAATGTTTTGGGAGATGAAGAAAAGGATGATATTCCTAAAAGCCAACTCCCCGAGGATAACCGAGCGGTGAAGGAACAGTCCCGTTCAACAGATAAGTAAAGGATATCTGAAGGCTAGTGTTGGATTTCGTATTATCGTGCATATCAGGAGTTCGAGCTAAACAATATGTGAAGATAGTAAGTGGAGATGTATAGTGTTCAGCTGACCCGATGGTACTATACGACCGGGGGCTTGATATTCACTAGAGAACTAGGGTAACGAGGTGATTTTAGAGCTTTGTCACATGCGGTCAGCCTGATCAGAGCCCTGCTGTCATCCCCAAGTCGTTCAGAGTTATAACTTATAAAGGTAGGTGAAGATGTATGGTAACAACAGGTCACGGAGGCTAAGATGAAGTGAGAAGATCAAATATTCATAAGATAAGAGGTAAATAAGACATAGGGAGATAAATGGTAGACAGGAAGCAACACGCAAAGAATAATTGAGAAATGATGAGACACGTGGATGGATAGGAAATGGTAGACTTTATCTATATATGTACATAGAAGATACAGTAGAATTGCTGTACGGCCCCGGGGGAAAAAAGGTGGCATATATAATCAACTTGAAATGTCACGTTGTCACGTTCTGCTTGTGGTTTGTTAAGAAAAATCTCCGTTCTTTCAAGGGCCGACCAAATACTCCGTATATAGGTGCATACCTATAGGGAATTGTTAATCGCACCCCCCCCCCCCCCCCCCCCCGGCTCCTGCGTGATTACAGGTCAAGCGGTCCCTACTGAGATCTCAGTAGGGGCCCCATGACTTGTGATCTGCGCTCCTGCTGCTCCCACCCCTCCTGCCTGATTTTTCAGTACCGCCTTCCCAATTGGGCGCGATCAATAATTCTGCCATGATTTCTGCCGCTCCATTTTTGTACTGCTATATATTCTGCCATCACCATAGTAATTCTGGTTTATATCGTGAAGAATGCACCATTTGAATCAGGAAAAAATCGTATATTTCATTCATTTCTCTATTAATCTACTCTACAAATTGATTATGCTAGTTTAAAGACACCTCTCCGCGGACGTTTTGCTCCTCCATATCCCTGTCCTCCGGTCTCGGCATTGTTACTCTCCTCAAACGTCCAGAGTAACAAAAGTGACTTAATTTTGTATAGGGCTTATATACAAATTGTAGGTACCTGCTGTCTACTAACATTGTATAGGGAGTTTGCCAGGAAGGCGGTGTAGAGAGCGGTAGGCAGATCTAGGCTTCGAGGCAAAAGCGGTAACCAATTGGGAAGGCGGTACTGAAAAATAAGGCAGGGGGGTGGGAGCAGCAGGAGAGGGGGGGGGGGGTACGATTAACAATTCCCTATAGGTATGCACCTATATAGGTAGATCATCCCCCGAGCTGTCAAAAACACGTGGGAACTTTAAAAACAGACCTCTCGAGGTTTTTTTTTTGACTATTTAATGTATGTAGTTTATTATAGGTAGAATATAGAGTAGTTATCAAGGTGATTCTCAGGATAACATACTAAATATCAGGCCGCATGCGGGCTTTCTCTTTATTCTCTCAAGAACATGACTCTCTAATTTACCTTGAAATCGTCTAATCCATCTAACCAATCTAATTTGAGACTAAGAAAGCCAAGACATTAAATGATCCATGTGAACTGCGAACTTTTATTGGCTCTCGTATTCTAGCGCAAAGGCTGACCTCTTTCATTTATCTCTTCTCCAAGCCTCTTAACTTCTCTTAACTTGACAAAATTCCCCTTGTTCTCTGCCTAAGCTGGATACTATCCAGCATGGCGACCAACGCGACTATGGCTACGACCAACAGTACCAACGTAGTCAGTCCGCAAGGTGGAATCCTTGAAGGTGGCAACCCAAGCCACTATGACCCCAAGAACCCACTGGTGTTGTTCATTATCCAGGTATGTCGCCATCCGAGAAAACCGAAATTCCAAAACTGACAACCAGGCCGTTATAATTATCGTGCTATGCCGCATAATCCACTGGCCCCTCTCGAAGATCCGTCAGCCTCGAGTGATCGCTGAGGTTATCGGCGGAATTGTTCTGGGCCCATCGGTGATGGGTCGTATCCCCGGATTTACTGACGCCATTTTCCCGACCGCCAGCATCCCCAGTCTCAATGTAGTCGCCAATCTGGGCCTGGTACTCTTCTTATTCTTGGTCGGTCTCGAGACTGACCTTCGTTTCCTGGTCAGTAATTGGCGGGTCGCTTTGAGTGTGTCCGCTGCGGGCATGATCTTGCCGTTCGGGTTGGGCAGCGCTATCTCATATGGCCTCTATCATGAGTTCCACGGCGATCCCGGTACCAAGCCCATTGCCTTCGGTACCTATCTACTGTTCATCGGTATCGCCATGGCCATCACGGCTTTCCCCGTGCTGTGTCGTATCCTCACTGAACTTAAGCTGCTCTCAACCCGGGTCGGTGTTATCGTGCTGTCTGCCGGTGTTGGCAATGACGTGGTGGGCTGGATCCTACTTGCGCTGTGCGTCGCTCTCGTCAACGCCGGCAATGGCATCACGGCTCTATACGTGCTGCTAGTCTGCGTCGCCTACATGCTCTTTTTGACTTTCGTTTTCCGCCCGCTGTTCCTTCGCTTCCTTGAGAAGACCGGCAGCCTACAAAAAGGACCCAGTCAGTCGGTGGTGGCCCTCACCCTACTTATCGCGCTGGCTTCTGCCTTCTTCACACAGGTTATTGGTGTCCACGCCATTTTTGGAGGCTTTGTTATTGGCTTGATCTGTCCGCACGAAGGCGGCTTTGCTATCAAGCTCACTGAGAAAATTGAGGATTTGGTCGCTGCCATTTTCCTGCCCCTTTATTTCACCCTGTCCGGTCTGAGTACCAACCTGGGCCTCCTTGACTCTGGAATCGTCTGGGGTTATGTGGTCGGTGTAATTGCCATCGCGTTCATCGCGAAGGTCACCGGAGGTGCTGTTGCGTCGAGGCTCTGTGGCCTTTTATGGCGTGAGAGCTTTTCGATCGGTGTGTTGATGAGTTGCAAGGGTTTGGTGGAACTAATCGTGCTGGTAAGTACTAACCCTACACGTAGTTCTTCGATTGAGAAATCACGCTAATTAAATTGCAGAACATTGGCCTTCAAGCCAAAATTTTAAGCACTCGCACATTTACAATTTTCGTCGTGATGGCCTTGGTCACCACATTCCTTACTACACCACTAACCACATTGCTGTATCCAAGGTGGTACCAGGTCAAGGTCGAGCGATGGAGACGCGGGGAAATCGACTGGGAAGGTAACACTATCCAGAGCGATGACCGCAATGACAGCGTTGCTCTTGCCAAGGGTCAATTAAAGACCGTCCCAGTACGCAAGCTCCTCGTCTACCTTCGTCTCGATGGTCTTTCGGGTGTCTGTACTGTAGCGGCCCTCCTCAGCTCAAAGCGACGTGGCTCCGTGTCATCGCGCATTCATCCCGCAAAGATGCCCAAGCAAACCGAGCAAACCGTTGAAGATCCTATTACCTCAGAAGAGGAAGAAACCCTCACACTCAAGGTGCACGGTGTTCGGTTAATGGAATTGACCGACCGTGATTCCAGTGTCATGAAGGTTGCTGCTGCGGGCGAGCATGCGCTGTGGGATCCGGTGGTCAACACTTTCCGCGCCTTCGGAGACTGGCATGATCTCTCGCTCATGGCTGGTGTATCTGTCGTTCCTGAGCACTCTTATGCAGATACCGTCATCGGAATGGCACAGCAGGACACCGCAGACATGCTCCTTCTCCCCTGGAGCGAGACCGGAACACTGGCCGATCGCCACAGCGGGCTGGAGATCGACGACGCAAACCGTTTCTCCAACGGCGCCTACACAAGCTTCGTCTCCGATATCCTAGCGCGGGTCACAGGCCATGTCGGTATCCTAATCGAATACAGCTCGGCTCCGGCCTCGTCGAAGCGACCCATGATCTCACGCACCCCCAGCGGTATGAGTCTCCAGGGCTCTGTCTTCGCCCGCCAGCCAACCGGCAGCCGCTCCCATCATATTGTCCTTCCATACTTTGGTGGCGATGACGACCGCTTCGCTCTTCGGTTAGTCCTGCAGCTCGCTAAGAATGAACATGTCACTGCGACTATTATTCAAATTAGTGGGCTGAGCAGTAATGGCACCAAAACAGGTGTGTCAACTACAATATCTGCCTCAAGCTCAAGTGGGCTCCCCGCGTCCGGCTCTCAAGCCGACTCGATCTTCTTCGAGACTCTCCGTGATTCAGTACCGGAAGAACTTGAAGAGCGCATCGTCTTCCTCCAGCCAGCTGCCAACGATACCATCACCGACCCCGTCCAAATGGCCGTTGTCTCTGTGCGTGAAGAACTTAACCAGATGTCCAACAAGGGAAACAACATTGTCATCGTTGGCCGTCGTAGTATCTCGTCTGAGATCGAGCTGGGTCTTGAGGACGGTCTTGGTCATGATACCCGCCGCGCTCTGGGAGCTGTCGGTACTGCGATGCTACAGCCCGAGAGTAAGATTTACGGCAGTGTGTTGGTGCTGCAGGCTGGTACCGACACTGGCTTGGCTGATTACTATCACTGAATATGATTTGGGATATCGCTTGGAGCAATTGTGAATATTTTCATTAATATTTGGATGGAGTGATAATTTGCTAGTTTGATCATTTTGGAACATGCCTTATTACCTGTAAAAATGTAGAGATTATTAAAATGCATGTAACCGAGTATAACGAGGTGACGTTGTCAAAACCAAACTGAGCCAAAACGAGCTACCATGGATTACGCAGAACACTAGCCGAAGTAGGTGTAGAATGAGTAGAGCTCATCCCTTCCCAAAACCACGACGGACTGTACTGCCGACGATCCTGCATCGGTGACTCCAGAGTCGACAGCCGGTCCCTATCCGACGGAGAGGAGCTGACCTGGTTGAGCTCACGCTCACTGGAGCGCAATTCATGATCATCAGAGAAACCGCGCGCAACTGCGATCAATTTACCAAGGATGGCATATTCAAGTTTCAACTTGATACTATAAGCCACAGGCTTGAACATGACCTGGATGGCATAGTAGCCGACATATTGAATAACAACGACTGATATATCCAACACAAGAATGATGATATTGATAACCAACAACTGGTTAAGAATGCCATGGGGGCGACCTGCCGGCCTAAGACGGAGCAATTTAACGGTTTCCCAAACATATATGCTGGATATAATAAATTCCTGCACGCAGAAACCAACCAGCTGAATGCGCTCCATGATATCATACCCGCGGGCCCAGCGGCCGGTCGGATGAGCAACAGCCCCATATAGTATAGCTGTGGTCGGGAGGTGGAAGATGACAGCATCAATACATATCATCCAGAGCACTCCGCGCAGCAGCTTCCTATTCTGCAGTACGAGATGCAGCCGCGACCATAGCACAACCGACTGGCCGGTGACCATGCCGTACCAGCTGACCAAGAAGAGGGTCACGCATAGCCAGGGAGTGACGCCTGTCGGGAAGAAGAGAAGGACGAACCCGAGGGAGTACGGGATGATGCAGGCGGAGGAAATGAGTAGGCTCCAGAAGTAGGCGCCGTTCCAGCGTCTGAAGGAGACGAAGCAGAGGATGATGAGCTCGATGGCGTTGTACCATGCTACCGCGGAGAAGGCGGAGAATATGCCTTGGCGAGCTTTGTCGGACGTTCCGCCGTAGTTGTGGAGGAGGGTGATTGCAATACTGCTGGCGTTATGGGTGGTCATTGGCGATGGAGAGACATTGCTGGTTATGCTCCGTAGAGATAGATGATAGATATATAAGGGGGATTGAAGTTGGGAAGAGTTGAGGGGTATGAAGGAATGAACTACTGAGTTTATGCAGTGCAGAGGTGCTCACAGTGCATTCAAGGAGTGGCAGGAAGACCTCGGAGCTCAGATGCGAGAGGTGATCTCGGGAAGATCGTACCGTAGAGAGGGATTCCATGACAGCTCCTCGGGGTTGTGGAGAATTGCGCGAAAGCAGACTGGACAATGAGAGATGGGGAAGTTCCCGAGCCATGGATCTGCGTAGTATTTGGGGATGTTCTGTGAACGGAAATTATATAGATATAGAAAAGGGATGAGGGAACTCCCTTTCTTCGTCTTATATTCGTCGTACTATTGAAAGGTGGCTTAATTGATGTTCAACTGTGTTGATCCCCCTTGCTTTAAGGCATGCACATGGAGTACTTGAGACACATAAGGAGTACAGGGCATGGAGTGCTTGACAAGGTGTCCGCGGAGGAAATATGCTGTTCGGATATGGTCCCTTGTGACTGATATCCTTGGAGTATACGGAGTAGTACTCTGAGCTGAATTGAACACTTTGACAGGCTAAATAATTAGTATCAGAAAACGAGCTTCAACGTCTGACGCTTGATTGATCGAACAACAGATCTGCCATAGCCCAAGCTTGGTATTGGTAAGAACCCTGGGAGTCAGTTAGTTAGTTAGTATAAGAGTAGGTAACTGGCATCGCTGGAATCACTGGCATGGGAGATCAAGAAATGCATCAAAGCAGCAGGAACGCGTTTGCGACAGATCGGACTATGACGTCACCTGATCTGAAAGTCGATCTCGATCTCGATCTCGATCTCGATCTCTCTAGATCGAAATGAGCTTGGATTCCTTGTACATCCCCTTTTCCTATTATCCTCGGTGATGCAGATTCTGTCTCTCTATTCATCTCCATCAATCTCGCGCGTGTTTCCGTTCAACCCATTGAAAGCCCAATTTTTTCGCAACTTATCAGCTATGCCACCAAAGAGGAAGGCCAGTAGACCGGCTGCTGAACAGTCCAATGACTCGCCCGCCAGTAAAAAGGGCCGTTCTGACTTGCACCAATCGCACCCAAACGCGAAGCAAACGGAGGACTTCGGCATAGTCCTACGTCAATTCTACCCGCCGGAGATGAGCAACGAGCGCTGTCAAGCATACACTAATGGCGAGCTGGAACGACCCATTGAAACACTACAGAAAGCTTGCCGGGAAACTGCTGATAAGCGCCGTTCGATCGATGTGGGTAGTGCTGTGGTACATTGGTTCAAGAGCGATCTCCGGCTTCACGACAACAGGGCACTGTACACTGCCTACCAATTTGCGAAAGAGAAACAGGTCCCATTGATTGGTCTTTACATCGTCTCCCCTGAAGATTGGACTGCCCATTTGACTAGCCCCGCCCGAGTGGATTTCACCTTGCGCACCCTCCAGCGATTGCAACAGGACCTGGGGGAGCTGGATATCCCTCTCTACATGGAAACACAGGAGAAACGGAAGGAGATTCCGAATCGGATTGTGGAATTATGTCAACAATGGGGCGTGAAGAACGTATATGCGAATATCGAGTATGAGGTAGACGAACTGCGGCGCGAAGCTAAGCTTGTTAAACTCTGCGCAGGTAGCGATATCAATTTCGCTCCCAATCATGACACCTGTGTGGTCACTCCGGGCGCGCTAGCTAGCCAGCAAGGGAAACAGTATGCTGTTTATACTCCATGGTATCGCTCCTGGTTGGCATTTCTGAAAGAGAACCCGGATTACCTCGAGGTCTCCGAGGAGCCCGGGCCAAATCCAGGGAATGCACGACAACAATTGAAAGAGTTGTTTGATTGCAAGGTGCCAGCCGCACCAAAAACTCACACCCTGCCGGATGAAGATCAGAAACGCTTCGAGGGGCTTTACCCAGCCAGTGAGCATGAAGCTCTCCGGCGACTGGAAAACTTTCTCAAGGAAAAAGGTAAAAAGTATGAGGAGTTGCGGAGCATGTTGCCTGGTGAGCACACTTCGATGTTGAGTCCTTACTTTGCATGCGGGGCGCTTAGCGCAAGGACTGCCGTCGCGACAGCGAAGAGGATCAACAAAGGCCATATCGATCGATATGACCCCGGATACATGACCTGGATCAGCGAGCTGGCCTGGCGCGACTTTTACAGGCATGTGCTTGTGAATTGGCCTTTCATCTGGTAAGATTTTATCCTGTAGAACAACGGATTTCTCATTCTAATTACTCCCATAGTATGAATAAGTGCTTCAAGCCCGAGCATACTAATATTGATTGGGAGTACAACGAGGATCAGTTTCAAGCTTGGTGCGATGGCAAGACAGGCTTCCCGATCGTCGACGCAGCAATGCGCCAGCTCCGTCACTGCGCGTGGATGCACAACCGCACGCGCATGGTCGTCTCATCGTTTCTTACCAAGGACTTGATGCTCGATTGGCGTCGTGGCGAGCGCTATTTCATGGAGAATCTGATTGATGGTGATTTCGCCTCCAATCACGGCGGGTGGGGGTTTGGTTCTAGTACTGGTGTAGATCCGCAGCCATATTTCCGCATCTTCAATCCTCTTCGACAAAGTGAGCGATTCGATCCGGAAGGAGAGTACATTCGCCATTGGGTGCCAGAACTACGCGACGTGTCTAGCAAAGCTATCCACGATCCTTACGCGAGGGGGGCGTCAGCAATTGCGCAGAAGAATGGCTACCCGAAGCCCATTGTAGACCACGCAGAGAGTCGGAATCGAGCATTGGAGCGGTTCAAGAGTGCACTTCAGAAAGGGTGAAAGTTAATGTAAATAATAATGAGGCGCATAATTTTGATCAGCTGAGATGTAGAAAGTCCATGTGATCTAAAAAAAAGTTGGAGAAATTCCGCGCCAAGTCCAATTGCGGGTGAGACATTCTAGTACCTTTTTCCCCGCAACATCCTTCATTTCTCTTCGGCTTCTTTTTTTCCCTTGCATTTAAGCTCACCAATGACGTCCTGGAATGGAGTCCCAGGGTGATCAGCCGTCTCCGGACCCAGAGTCGGTGGAGGTTGATGTTGAACTGTCAAATGGCAAACGACGATGGCGCCGAAACAGAGTCGCCTGCGATTCATGCCACACTCGCCGTGTACGATGCGACCGTGCTTTTCCCTGCTCGAGATGTTTGCGTGGTGATATAAACTGCCAATTTACCCGCGAGCGCCGGAAACGAGGACGTATCGCAAGATCAAAACCGAAGAATGCAGATGCGAATGCTGAGGACGAAACGCTCCAGGATCCCGCCGAAGGGCAGCAGGGCGATGAGGAACACAAACGGGGATTGCAATCGCAGTTGCAGCAGGTGCTGTCGCCTGTTGAAAATAATTCTCCTGCCTCGAGCTTCCAGCAGCAATCGCCGGCAACAAACGAGATCAGCGCCATCTCGGCACCCAGCGTCGACGGCCGTCGGTCTGTGCCGCATCGTCCACAGCCGCAGCGGGCAGGACTTGCCGCCAATGTCACGGAGGAATGGCTTTCAGCGGCACATCTGTCGCCAGACTCATATGAGCTGCTTGCAGGTACAGGCGGCAGCGAACCTCCTCTGCCCCGGTTGGTGGATATCTGGAATCCAGTCGATTTTGCTAGCCACCCACCAGTCCAGTGTGTGCCTGCTGTACCATCTGTGTCGGGGGCCAACCTCCCAAGACGGAGACGGCCGTCGACTTCTCGGTCACCGTTGAAGTACCCTGTGTTGGAACCTCTTATGCCTTTTCTCGAATCGAACCTCCCACGTCGACTGGTATGCGATCTGCTTGAACTCTACTTTACCAGCGCTTTCTCAACCCATATGCATCCTGTGTGCCATCATATTCATTGTTATGTCCTGCGAAAGACTTCTTTTCTAAGTGTCGACCGCCCCAGGCCCACTAGTCCTGCCTTGCTGGCAAGTATGCTCTGGGTGGCTGCTGTAGATGATCGGGCCTTCTCTTTATCCATCTCACCGTTACAACGGAGGAAGATATGCCAGTTTCTCTGTGCATTGATTATTCGCTTACTGCGACCTTTGATACATGTCTCCTTCAAAGACCAAAATCCATCACCCGCTGAAAACCCAACCGCTCACGACTACTCAGCCGGGGCCCACCACCCATTCGAAGGGGTCGGAGATGATAAAGGGTTGGTAGGCCCCGCTGGGTCTTTAGACGATGTCATTACCTATATTCATGTGGCCTCGATTATCTCATCTAGTGAACAGAAGGCTGCAAGTATGAGATGGTTCGTACCCCTGGTTCTACACCTTGTCCACTCCACTAACTCCACACTAGGTGGCATGCAGCTTTTACATTGGCTCGAGAGCTTAAATTGAATCAAGAGATGGAAATCACACCGAATATTGACGCCCTGACCGATGGTTCAAGTCCATCCTTCGGCTACGGTCTAGGCGGATGGCCTGGTTCCCCAGATGGGCTGGGTTTTGATTATTCAAATCCCTCGCGGCCAAGCCTGAATTGCGTATGTGACAAGCACCAAGATTTGCATAATGGGCCTATTACAGAAGAGCACCGTGAAGAGCGGCGCAGAACCTGGTGGCTGTTATACATCATGGACCGCCACCTCGCATTGTGCTATAATCGTCCGCTGGCCCTACTGGATGCCGAGAGCGAGGATTTGTTGCTTCCATTGGACGAAAGCTCCTGGCAAGCAGGTATCATTCACAGCAATAGTCCTCATCCAGATGGACCCCAATGCCCTCGGTCCGGCGACCAAAACAAACGTCGCATTTTCCCCAACTTCATCTGCCACGACCACTCTATTCTTGGCTTCTTCCTCCCACTCATGACGATCACCGGCGAACTCATCGATCTGAACCAGGCCCGGAACCACCCTACCCTTGGTGTCAGGCTTCAAGGAAAAGAAGCGTGGGAGGTACATGTGTCAGAAGTACTGCGCCAACTTGAGGTCTACAAAGCTAGTCTCACAACCTTCGCGACGGCGACAACAGCAGATCCAGCTGCCCCATCGACGAGTGCCTACACCAACAAACCAGACCCTGTCGATCCGCAATTGTCTCAGGCGTATTCTTGGCATACGCAAACAGTCATTGCCTATTCCTCCTACCTAACTCATGTTCTCCATATCCTGCTGGTCGGAAAGTGGGATCCCGTCTCACTGATAGAAGACAAAGATTTCTGGACATCTTCCCCGGCCTTTGCGTCTACCATCTCACATGCACTGGAAGCTGCCGATTCCGTGCAACAAATCCTCCGCTTTGACCCCGATGTTAGTTTCATGCCGTACTTCTTCGGCATCCAGCTGCTGCAAGGCAGTTTCCTCCTCCTTCTTATCGTAGAGCGCTTGCAAAAGGAAGCAGGCGAGGGCATATTAAACGCCTGCGAAACTATGATCCGAGCGACAGAATCATGCGTCGTCACACTCAACACGGAGTATCAGCGCAGCTTCCGGCAAGTGATGCGCTCTGCGGTCGCGCAGGCTCGAGGTCGCCCAGTAAACCCGAGTGAAATTCGGCATCGCCGAAAAGCGGTTCTCGCACTTTACCGCTGGACGCGAAAGGGGACTGGCTTGGCCCTTTAAATACCCCACAGGCAGGTCCAGCAAGGATTTTTTTTGGTTCCTGTCGATCCCTGCACGCTACTGAATCAAACCCCCCTATTGTCCTGCAGGTCTGCGTACATGAGTGGGAAACCCGTTTTTCCCGTGGTCGCAATTTTGGGGTTGACTAGATACTACTTTCATACGATTTCTCAGTGTATAGTTCTGCAGCGGAGTTTTCGGGTATATGGCGTTTCACTCAAGCTTCTTTAACTATCGAGAGCGGATAATTCCGCGAATACATAATTTACCCTTGAAGGCATCTCGGTCCATTATTCTATTGTGGCGTCGACATCCAGTATCTTCATAAGCCTACGTCAACCCGAACATACGACATGTAGGGATGAAACAAGACCTATGTCATTCCCCGTTCTCGTTTAGGTCCATGAGGTCTCAAGCCTTCTCTCAATTTATCCGAATTCCAGGGGAGTCTCGATTAAATTCTCGATGCCGAGCAACCGCAATTCACCGATTGGACAACGGCCCTCGAATGTAAGTAAAATCCGGGGAAATCGGTTAATTGAACACTTCGGTGGGATCATGAGGTCTCCAAGGATATTTGCCGTTGGAGCTTGGGGCCCCAGGTTTCTCCGCAACTCCACAGCTCCTCAGATGCGTGGTTTGATGTGCAGGTCTTTTTTTTGGTTTAAATAATTCCTTCATGGCCCCCGGTTTTGCGGGGAATTATTATTTCTTCTTGCGCAGGTAGCAAGGTCTTTTTTTGGGGGAGATTTCAAAATATTTCAAGCCTCAACTTCAAGAAGCTCCTAGCTCCTAGCTCCAGCTTCAAACTCCAAACTCCAAACTTCAAACTTCAAACTCCAAACTTCAAACTCCAAACTTCAAACTCCAAACTTCAAACTCCAAACTTCGATTCCAATTCCAATTCCAATTTCAATTTCCAGTTCCAATTGCGATCAGACCTTGATTCCTAGATCCGTGTCTTGCCTCATAAACTTCTGCCATCACCATTCGAGTTCGTGACAACTACATTACATTCACCATGACCGAAGCTCAGTTCCCATTGGAGACTACCTCCTGGTCCATGGAGACCCTCGGTGATTCATATATGGGACAACACGATGAACTTGGCCCGGGCCCCTTCATCGCTACCGATTTTCCTTTGACGATGCAAGATGCACTAGATCCCTCCTGGGCTGTTGAGCAGTTCGGCTGGATTGATGGATACCCGGTTAAATCGACCGCATTTCAACCATATCCACAAATATGGTATGAAGCCGGTCTAGTGAGACAGGACTGTGGAGGGGTCAAAGCCGATACTACAAGGTAAGTTACTAGGCTTCCAGGAATAGAGTGACAGGTCCAAAGGGGGAAAAAAGAGAAGAAAAAACAAAGGACAAGAGAGATCCTAGAACAAGCTGACATGTGAAACCAGTTTCTCACTCAACCAATCAATTCCCTTCCAATCCACCGAGAATGTCCCGATCCACTCCCGCCCAGATCTCCAGCTCGCAACACAAAGAGCCCTCTTCATGACCCCTCCATCAAATACCCTAGCCTTCCCCTTCCCCGGATCCCCAAGCTCAGATCTCCACGGGTCCCCAGGACCAAGCCATGCCTCATCAAGCGGGTGGGAAGGAGAAGCCGAGCACTTGGAAGACGCCCAATACACGCAATTCGACTTCGGGCCGTCAGGATTGGACGCTCAATATCAGGCTCATGGCCAGCCCCACTCCGTCAGCTCCCCGCACCGTCGATACTCCAGAACAGACGAGGAGTGTCTTACACCACTCGAGATGCCAGATGGCAGTACTCGCATGACATCAAATTGGCTCCCCGTCGACCCTGATGCTGGGTTTGCGATCGGTTCTGCCATGATGATGAATGAGGATATGCCAGCGTTTCAGGATGTGAAGCATGCTTTCTTTCCATCTGACCCCGCGGCTTGGTCGTATGACCCATGAGAGCGGGTCATCATGCATTGTTTGGCTGTTAGCAACAAATTGCTCAACTATTACCCGCCTCCCCCCTTTACTTCCTCTAGTGCTAGTTGCGACAGTGATTCTGCCAAGCGCCCAACACACCCTTCTGTTGGCCTCGGGGCGTCCACAAGTGGCATCCACGGCGTCCTTGGCACGATCACAAAGTACAGATGTACACCGGGAGCCGTCATTGTACGGAGCTGGTCATCACCCCCGCTGCGACAACTCACTTTCCTCGCACCCAGGAATTCTAGCGCGAATCCCGCGTGCCAGGCGTCTGATACGAGTGCGCCCAGGACGTGGGTCGAATAGAATTTCCAAAATTCATTGTTTGAGAGGAAAGAGCATCATCGGCATGGAACCGCCGAGAGCGCAGACCACCCGTTTGGGCATAATTTCTACGCCGTGGACCGGACAAGACATGATCGTATGAATGGCATATCTTGATCTTCAGGTTCAGGTGAATGTTACCTACATAAAAGGGATCCAGGGACAAATATAATAACATCAATACAAACTCATTCATAAAATGTTGTTATGGTTTATATAAGTAGAAGAAACGGCGAATCTGATCGATATATATTGGCGCTATGCCCAGCCACACCCCGTTCGATCTGAGAATCAACGTTCCAAAATACATATGGTTCTTCCCCGCCAATTTGCACATGATTTCCTCCTACATGAACACCCGAAATATATCAAATGAGCAATGCTCCACTCAAACAAGACTTTATTGAGTCTTGTTTATAGTTTACTCCAGTCCAACCAGACAGTAATATCCTCCAGCTCATCCCGATGCTCCATGTAATAAGCCTGTCCCAACATGTGAAGCTTTCGTCGATCTGTCTTCTTCGACTTCGTGCGCGGGACTCTATCAATAAGGATATACAGCCCAGGCACATAGTACCTGGGCAAATTTTGTCGAACCGCCTCGCTCAGAGACTCGGTGAGCGCATGCACAGCCTGCCTCTCGCTAACCGGACGGAACTCCATTTCTTCGATCGGACCGTTCTCCATGTTCATGGGGTTATTTGCCAAGTAAAGATAAACGGCAAGAATAGGATCGCTTTGCCCGTCGATGGTGCCGAGAACGTCCACGATGGCGGCATCGCCGGTGGACAAGTTGCGCCGGAGAGCGTATTCCACTTGTCCGGCTTCGACGCGCGCGCCGTCGAGCTTGAGCATACTATCCTTGCGGCCCATCAGCTCGATCGTCCCATTGTGGTTGTACCGGCCTAGATCTCCAGAGCGATAGAAGCGGTGACTCGGCCTCTCGGTGTGGAGCTGGGCCATCCATACTGGTGGTGTAGAGAGGAAGTTCTCCGATTTTCCAGATACGTGGTCTAGATACCCCTTGGAGAGATGAGGGCCCTCGATGAGAAGTTCGCCCACGGCTCCGACGGGCATCAGCTGGTCGGGGTTATCGGGATTGACGATCCAGATTGCACCGGTAGCGGGACGACCGACCACTGACCCGTGTCCCATCTGGAGGTTGCGGTTATATGCGCACAGAGAAGCTATCTCCCCCATACCGTACTGGTTCACGACCTGCACGCGGTTCAGCCATTTTGCCAGTACAGCGTCTGAGACTGGCTCGCCACCAATACACATCATCTCCAGAGTGGGAACGCGCTCGGGATCCATGTCGACGGCGACTGATGGTGTGATGAACATCATGTTCCCCTCCAGATCGTTCATGTCATTCATCAGGGCCTCCATCGTCAGAGATATAGTTGGAACACAGCAGCATCCGCCAGCGATGAGAGGTGTTAGAAAGTCGTTGTTACTGATGTCGAAGGTGTAGGAGTCAAATTGGAACATCCGGCTATGTGGACCCATGTCCATGGCTCGGATGTAATCCGTCAACGCAGAGGCATAGCTACGGTGCTCTTGAATGATTCCCTTGGGTTTTCCCGTGCTACCGGACGTGAAGAGCACAAGGCAGGGATCGGTGGGGGTAACAGTAGAACAAGGGACCGAATTCACCAATGGCAAGCTGGAAACGGAAGCGGCGCTGACCTCGAATAGTGTTTCAACCCGATCCGCAAAGTTTTGCTTATAGCCAGCTGAAGTGAGCATGATCTTTATCTGGGTACGTTCAAGGACAGATGCAAGATATGGTGGTGGATCCCTGCCATCAACGCAGATGTACGCACCACCAGCCATAAGAACAGCCAGTCTGGCCACAATAGCCCAGGTGGATTTGTAAAAGGCACAAGCCACATAAATATTTGGGCCAACGCCTTGTCCCACTAGCCAATGTGCCAATCTAGAAGTTAAGTTCTCGAGTTGGCGATATGTCAGATCCCCATCCCAAGAGCGAACAGCAGGAGCATTAGGGGTTGTCGTCGCGTGTTGCAAACAAAGATCATGCAGGAGAGCATCACGGGCAGGCTCAATGTTTCTAGTGAATTGGGCAATCAGGTCAAAATCTTGCGCAGAGCATAACTCGAGGCTACAGATTGTCTGGTTGGATGAGCCATCAATTGATGACAAGGCCTGGTTAAAACTGTTCAGGAGGCTTGTAGCCAATGGCAGTCCAATGTCAGTGTTTCCAGCATCCAATCGAGCATATAACCTATCGTCGGAGGTATGTCGTATTGAAAGGCGGAGACCGGAGAATATCGAGTCTGCCTCCGTTGGCTCTCTCGCCGGTAAGCCACAGCAGACATGGCATTCGCCCACACATGTATCATTGCCAGATAGGAGGCGCTCAGCCAGTTGCTTCTGGTAGACGATTGTGATATTGAAGCCGGAATCTTCGCGGTCTTGAGTGGGATGGCCGTTCTCCGTGACTCTGTTACTGGATAACGAAGCCAATGCCTCAATGCTCTCGCGGAAGAGATCTATGATGGTATCATGAGGATCCACATGGATCGGAACGGTCGGCTTTGAGTAGCCATGAGCCGCCTCGCCTATGTAGCATTGACCCTTTGAATAGTCTTGGCCAACGTACAGTGTTGTCGAGCAGGAAAAGGCTTTGATCGTGGTAACCCATGCCAATTGGAGTAGTCGCTGGATATGAATATCCGGGTGTTCTCCTTGAACAGGTGGCGGAGGGTTGAGGGTATCAACTAGATGTAGGAGTCGCCAAGGACGGTCCTTCAGGGTGAGGTCAGCTCCCTCGGTAGAAGTACCATTGACTGCTACCTTCAGTGGAGCAGGGCTGGACTGGGAATCGACAGTTGCGGGTTCTAACAGGATAGGAGCCATGATGAACGTTAACTATAACAAGTGCGGAGAAACTATTGATCACTGTCGAGAAGTAGGGATTCTCTGGCCTAAATGTACGGAACCTTGCACAGGGAACAGGCATGCAGAGAGAAGCTCACGGTCTCGTTGTGAATATATGCTTTTTTTGGCACTGATCTCTTTGTTAAACCAAGGGAGCAATCAATAAAGCTTCCTTATTGAGGCCATATTCGGCGAATCATAGCCATAGCTCGGCAAGTTTGAGGTTCGTAAGATGTACTCCGTACAGACTCATCACTTTGCGCTTGATCACGGAATGTTTGCTGTGATGTGAGACGTGTGTGTATTCGGAAATGGCCTGCCGCTGCCTCCGAGCTAGTAGAGCGGGCAATTGGTGCCGGGGCTTTTGTGGAACATTGCGAATAAGAATCCAAAAGAGTTGAAGGTCAGAAAAAGGAAGGGTTATAAACCTTGTGGATTGGTCAATCCAATGTCGAAAATCACCGCTGTTCTACGTCCTTTGGCAATCCCACTATAAATGGTCAGCCCTGAAGTAGCAGTAGTACAAATAGTCAGCTGTAGAGTAAGATTTTAGGTGAGAGCATGAACTAGAAGATCTAGCCATGTCTCATTATTGAAGTCGAATTGACTTTAGAATTCGTTCAACCGTTACAGGAGAGTTCCAGCTTGGAAGCAAGTCAGACATTCTGCATAACCCCAGGATCAACACCCTCAAGGATCGACGACAGCTCAGCCCATAGTTTCTCACGGGCTTGGCGCCCCTCAGCACTACGCACCGAAAAGTGAAAGCGCGGTATTCTCCACATTCTTATCGGTCATATATGCGCCGTCGCTTTCGAGTCCAGCTGCTGTAGCGCCCGCCACTAGCGTTCGAGATCCAACCTCAATGGATCGTGCCAATACCATTTTCATCAGTTTCATCCTCAAGCCACCCTCTTTGCCCAGCTGTATGTTGCATAAACCAGGGTTCATCATGTTAATGATCACCTCTGATCTACGCACCCGGCCCGCTAGTTCCTGCACAAGCAAGACCTCAAGCAGCTTGGATAATGGGTACTGCTCCCCCATTTTGGTTCTTGATTGGTCGCTGACGACCTTCATTGGCTTCTCTTCCTTCCATTCTGCGAAATTCACCCAACCATGTACCTCGCTGACAACGAAGCTAAGTCGGGCTGTTCTTGATAGATGCTTTCGTCGTGTGGAGGAGAAGGCCAAGGAATAGAGTGTTGATAACATTGGCAGTGACAGTTTTCTCATATCACTCGGCAGTACCAAACTCCGATGTGGCAATTGCTGCATTCAGGATGGCTGCGTCGAGATTAGGGAGCTTTGAGATGCACTCGCCAAAGGCAAGGACAGAGGCATGGGAAAGTAGCTTGACCTCCCACACCTCACATACCTCTGGGCGGCCTGTAGGTTTTTCAATATCCTCTTTGGCTTCTTTTCCCGTGGTCACATTTCAAACAGCAAGGAGTACTCGTGCTGGACCTAGTCGCGTGATGCGATGTGCAGCTTCCAGTCCTAAGCCGACATTGGCACCGGTGATGAGCACCGTCTGATCCGCGAAAGAGTGTGTTGGATGTTTGGGAGTAATAAAGAATTGTTAGTAGAGGAAACCCATGATGTATGTTTGAGCGCACAATTGTTCAAACAAAAACCAAAGGTATATGCAAAAGGGAAAGGGGAAAGGGGAAAGGTTGTACATGGGGAAAATATGGCTGGACATTAGCGGATTTGACTGGCTCCGCTCTGAATCCCATATATACTATCTTCACTGATCCCGGGATTAAATATTGTTATTGCCGAACAAATTAGCAGAGGTCATAGTAATATTCCAATATAAGAGTTAATATCTATGTATACAGCGATTTTAAACTAATTAAAGACGCTTCTTCCTAGGTGGGCTAGTGTGTGAACTACATGAGGCCCCGAGGTCCGCTTAGTAAATGACAACCACTCGGGCTGCCCTGGAGATCGACAGGTAGATCGATCCCAGGATCATAAATGGGGATGACTATGTCATTTACTTGTATGTAGTTTATGTACCCAGTCAGCAAAAAAAGGTTCTGGCCAACTTTGGAAGAAGCGCCTTGAAGTAGTTTCAACAGGCGTAGTAAAAAAAAGGGGGTTGGGGGGGTTGTGTAATACAAATTAATTCTCTTACAATGTACTCCGTACACATAGAATAGTCGAAGGCGTAGATAATATTCGGGCGTGAGGTGATCATAATAGAGGAATTTGCTTGTGCCTATTTCTCTCAAATCTTGTTTGAAAGTCTGATTTTAGTCCTGTTCCGAAAACAGGGGCAGCATATAGATGACCGCAATCCAACAATTCCAAAGTCGAAATGTCTGTTTATCTCCTTGAACAGAACGAACTATCAGAGTCCTTAAGGCCACAAGCGAAGCCATTGCCATGCTGATGGTAAACCAAAGATATGAAACACCCCAGAACATCGGACACCATATTCCCCAACAGAGCATGGGCAGAGCAATAGTCCACCGCGCCATAGTATCACCCCATACTAGTGGCACCGTTCGTCGACCCCGTTTAGCATCGCCGGGTTGATCGGACATATCCTGCAATTGGACGGTGGAGAAAATAACCCCGATGATGACAATAAGCCACCGTCCTGACCACCCAAGCGGGTGGAGAGGGAGAAAAGAACCGCCCAAGGCCACTTCCATCGCCCCCGATGCGAAACAGGTATATCCTAGTCCATTGATAAAGTTCCGAATGACTGGGTTCTTGTCCGCACCACCCCAGTTATTGTACCACACCCCTAACCATATCAAAGCCACAGAATGTCGGACTCCACCAGCAAATGCTAGGCTATATATCGGGGCAAATACATATAGAATAATCATAAGTCTTGTGCCCCACTCGTGAGAAATCTGGCTGCGAGGAAACGGGCGCCATGGCTTGTTCAAACAGTCCTCGGCAATCGCCCTTTCACCCCGTTGGTTGTTGATGGCGAATGGAACCAAGTTGATCAGAACCCATAAGAATGCCGCGAGAGCTCTTCCAACCGATTTTGGAGAATCAATGAGAGCCTGCGGAGGAAGCAAAATAGCTGGAACATGCGGGTCGTATTTCGACGCGGCCCAGGCGTTTGTGATTCCGAAAATTGTACTTGGTACCACAATAGTTTTGAAATCACTCAAGACCAACAGCCAAAGGGTATATGGGTGGTACTGCAGAGATGCCAATGTCCTTTGGACAATTAAGAGAACCTGATTCATGGCGGAGGGATATTAATGGGCCCAATCGATGTTAATTTGAGAATTAGATTGTTGTATCGAAAAGGTTCGAATTTAACCCTTTGGGACAGAATGTTGGCATTCGATGAAGAGTGAATAGTCAAATAAGAGGGAAAACGAACTTGACTATCGTACATTTTGAATTTCTTTCACAAGGTGCCAAACCTTTCCTAAATAGTTGGTAAACATTTGGGATAAACTATTGACGCGCTAGGTACCTAAATATCAAAAGAGTCCGGTTTTCGTCCATATCCTCCGATGGCTGAGAATGACGATTGTTGTCCAACATTACCTTTCGCAATTTCTCTCACTGTGACGTTTATGATACAAAGAGCCCTGATCAGAGTCACTATGGGACTCGTGCCACTTTGAGATTCGAGATAGTAATTGCGGCAGGTCCAGAATATTCGGCTTGATCATTATCATGCTAGCCTCGGGGGCAGTTGCAGCTATTGTAGGGCTACTGGCCCACCAACTTGTCTTTATTTACGGGGAATGGCACTTAAAGGCCCCGAGTGTCGTTCATTTTCATCTCTTTTCTGGCAGTTTATTATATGCAAACCATCTGTTTGGCCATGGAAGCACGCAAGCCAGCTTGATTCGCACAGTATACCTGGCGGCATGCTATCTCTCGTCACTATTCACCAGCATTGCAGTATATCGACTCCTATTTCATCGATTGAAAAACTTCCCCGGTCCCAAATTAGCCGCAGTGACTAAATTATGGCATGTGTGGAAATGCCACGACTCACGCGGGCATCTTGTCTTGCAGGCTTGGTACGAAAAATATGGGGAGTTTGTACGAACCGGTAAGAGATATCCGAAACCAAATAGGGACTCCCTGGTGACATTGGGGATTAAATATTCAGGTCCTGCCGAGATTACCATATTCCACCCCGAGGCCTACGAGGCCATGGATGGTCCTAACAATCACAACACACGCTCTGATTGGTACGACCTATTATATCCTCGGATATCCTCAATCTTTACTCGCGACCGACAGCTGCATAATGAACGGCGGAAAATGTGGGAGCAAGCGCTGAGTAGAAAAGGTCTTGTACACTTAAAGGTTCAGAATACATGGTAAACTGACACCGACGTTCAGCATTACTCCAGTATCATCGGCGGGTGCTGGAGAAGGTACGAACACTGGAAAGCCTAGTTGCTTTAGAACAATCACGCCCTGTGCTGATAAATGACCTAATGTATTTCTTTGCTTTTGACTCGATGGGTGATTTTTCTTTCAGCGAAGATTTTGGTATGATGAGGAACCAGAGGTGGCATTCATCGATAGCTATGCTGCGCTCGGCGCTCACGTTGTTGGGTCCATTCAGTCCTGCGATATGGATCCCGAGACTGGGGTTCGCATTTATGCCCGCACTGTGGAAGGTTCGACACTGGTTTCATATGCTTGAATTTTGTGACCAGTGCATGTCTCGACGGATGAAGGTATTAAAACTCATATTGGAAATCGATATTCGGGCTAATGTTAAGGTAGAAAACGCTCCCAGATCGCGATATTGCATCTTGGTTTATCGAGGACCACGTCAAACACGGATCAGATCCTACGCGGGCGAGGTGGTTGAGCGGTGATACTGCAACACTAGTTGTAGCTGGAAGGTCAGTAAGCCTGAGTAACATGAGGCAACGTACTAATAAATGAAGCGACACCACTGCTCCAAGTCTAACCCTTCTCTTATATTTTCTCGCCCGCTATCCTATGCATGCTGAAAAGATATGCGAAGAGATCCAGGGGATTGACAGGGAGAATCCGGCTACTTTGGCCTCGTTGCCACACTTGACGGGGACTATAAATGAAGCAATGCGATTGCTTCCAGCAGTAATAACTTTTAGCTCTCGATTAACTCCACCAGAAGGATTGATGATAGATGGCACGTTTATCCCGGGAAACACCAAAATATGTGCACCACGTTATACAATTGGTCGACGTAAGAAACACCTTATCCTATTTTCGGTCAGAAGTACTGAATGAACATGAAGTTGGGACAGCATATATCCACCCCCATGAGTTCATTCCCGAGCGGTGGTACAGCCAACCAGAGCTGATCAAGGATAAAAGGGCATTTGCTCCTTTTGGTGTCGGTAAGCGACAACCCAACCCTTGAGTCTTGTGGTCAGATCTCCCATGTGTCCGGTTGGGTTGCACGGGTATAAGAAGAGGCTCGTATCCTGACTCCTTTTTGTTTTCTCTTGTAAGGGCGTACGAGCTGTGTTGGTCGTCATTTAGCTCTCGCACAAATCCGTCTCGTAACTGCTGCCTTGGTGTTCCACTATCGGATCGAATTTGCATCTGGTGAAAATAACGGTGAGGCTGTCGAACGGGATATGAAGGACCAGTTGACTGCTCAGCCTGGTGCTTGTCGGCTTGTGTTCCAACGTCGGTGTGAGAAAAGTTGAAACGGGGTAGGGCCCAATGTGGTAATACGAGTAACAATAATTATTCATTGATTTGGATTGACTTCTGAAATTTCCACGCGAAAAGTGTTGGACTAGATACAATTTGCAGATAATACCTGTTTGTTCTCCCTACTCGGGCCGAAATCCCCAGGCAACGTGAATGTCAAATGTAACGTAACAACCAGATCGAATATCCGCATAAGCCTTTTGCTCCAGATCCTCAATATGCCGCATGTTTAACGCCCCCTGCGATCCTCTGGCGGAATGGAGGCGCGCCCACGCAAATATAGCCCTCATTCCATTCGTAGTCAAACGCGCGCGCGTATCATACACCCGATCAACAGCAACGGCCTCAGTATGAACATCTAGAAGACCAGCAGCGCGCATATCAGTCGCCAATCGATTCCAGCCATACTCAAACCGGGGTTTCATGGCAGTCATGAACATCAATCCCATGGTACTAGCAGCATCGATTGTAGAATCAGGCCGGCCCGGGAGGTGGCGGACGTTAGTAAAATCGCACTCTTCCCACTGCATAGCACCGCCAGGCTTTAGAAGCCGAGCAAGGCTGCGAACAACTCTCGCCCATTCGGAAGCTGTCAGACCGGCGGCAATCAGTCGAACGTGCACGATATCATACTGTCCCCAGAGGTTGACCGGAACATCATTGCGGGCGTCGAGAAGGTACAAAGTCACATTTTGGGGGAGAGTGTTGGAGGGTGGATAGAGCGAGGTTGATATGTCGTAGCCATGTAGGCTTGCATCAGGCCAGTCGTGGGCGAGATGGCGCAGGAAGGCCGCAGTACCCGTGGCAATGTCAGCAACCCGCGCGTGGGAATGCATTTTGTCTCGAACGGACGGGTGCAGCAGGTAGCCAATGTTTCTGCGTCAGCAGTAGTCAGTATGGTTCAAATGCCTGCGAACTGCTTCGCCACACAGGACTTGGCGGGTGATTTTACTCGGTGAGAAGATCAAATTGTTCGTCGAGTCTAACAGATGGATGTCAGTATGTGGTGTTTTCATTGGTTGCTGACGAGTTCTTGCCTTTGAGCTTCGGCGGAATCACGCTGCATATTCTCCGCGTATGTATCCCTGGAAAGAGGCATTTTGAATAGCCTACTTTGGGTCGAACGATCGAAGGTTGATGTCTCAGATTGAATAGATGGAGAGAAAAGAATGCAGGAGGATGCACGAGGCTGCAGCGGGTTGACGGGAAAGGTGTGAATTACAGGGTCACTCTAATCTCTGCCTCTGAAAAAACTTGGAGATTTCACCCTCACTACAGTCACCAGCGTCTCATTTGAGTACCTCCCCAGCTGAAAATCTGCTCATCGACGAATTGGAGAAAGTCAAGGTCAAGGTTTTCATGTTGTACGAAACGAAGTCTGTATGATATTCATCGTTACTTTCCCTATCACCATTGAACAACCATACCAGGAATTAGTTGAAATGGCAGCATCTCTTAGGTTTGCACAATGCCATTGTTCCTCTCAATATAACACTTCTGCTATTAAGCTACATACTATATACACTGTTACAGAACTTTTCTTAATCCTGTCAGACCTCGATATTGCTGACTCCCGTCACGAATATGATCCACTTGAATCATCGCTCTCCAGTTCTGATTGTCTGGAGTTTAATATTTTTCTTCATTGCTGCACTAGCTGTTGTACTTCGAGTTGCCTCTACACATATCCGACGCCAGAGATTCAAATATCATGATTATCTTGTCTTTTTCTCACTTGTAGGTCTGACTGGATATGTGGTGGATATGTTGGTCGGTAAGTTGACGCGATCAACCGACAACGCAACAATCGGGGCTAATATCTCATATCAGGGGCTACCACAGCGGGGTATGGTGGGCATACGGCGATAATGGCTGTACGCCACCCGGAAAGATTGGTTAGTGCATTGAAGGTTGGTCTATCTCCTTGGACGTTGATGAGAAGTATTAACAGAGTTAGATTTTCTGGGCATCAGAATGGATGTGGGCAACCTCAACAGTCTGCTTTAGGCTCGCCATACTTCTATTATATATGGAGATCTTCCCAGGGAACAAGAAGTTCTTCTGGTGTGCAACTGCAGTGGGATGTCTTGTCCTCCTATACTGGGTATCCGCGATCTTGACCATCGCTTTGCTCTGTCGTCCGGTTGCCTACAACTGGGACCACACTATTTCAGGGAGTTGTGGGGATGTTTTGAAGATACAGTATGCATCTGCAGGGTTTAACATGGGGATTGACTTGGGAGTCGTCTTACTTCCGCTGCCTATTGTCTGGCGCCTGCAAATGTCGAGTCGTAAAAAGACAGGCGTTACTGCATCTTTTGCGATCGGCGTGTTGTAAGTCCCCCACACGCTCAGTCCAATTCCTTGTTCAGTTGCTGATCGCTAGTAGAACGGCCGGTATCAATTTGGGGCGCATTATTCAGACCAAGCTGTGTCCTGCCGATGACCTTGTCTACTGCCTCAGAGACTCCTCTATTTTCATCATGGCAGAAATGACAGCAGGGATCTTGGTGGCCTGTGTTCCAACATTTGGGCCCCTATTGTTTCGCGGGCGAAAATTACGGTCAGCACAACCACGCGATTTGCCCACAATTGGATCGGCTCAAATGCGCCGTCGTCCCGCGAAATTTGACTCTCTGCTTTCCACGATCGACCACACTCACAATGATGGTGAAGAGCAAGGCCATACAAAGAAATTGGAGCCTGGTGCGCCCACATCACATATCGGAGCTGGTGCTGAGAATGAAGCTCCAGAGACAGGTATTTTAGTGACACACGATCTCGATGTGCATAGTCTGAATCTGCTCCCTAAAGTGTCTGGAACTTCTCTTTGAAATGCAGAGATTCTCTCACAAGAATATCCTTTTGACGCACGTTCCCTTCGGGAGATCTGCACAGCTCCATGTCAGGATGTCAGGAACTGAGATGCCCAGGATCTTTTGACTTGAATTTTCAGATTTTCCCAACGTACGAGAAGATGCTTATACTCCGTAATGCATGTCAGATTTGTAACACCTTTAGTGAGTCCGAGGCCCCTTTTTTTTTTTCTTCTTTGTGCTGGTTTTAAGATGGAAATTAGTTATATGAAAAGACTATAAATTGAAAGAGACCAATTGAATCAGATCTGTCGCCCATATTCCCAACCCTCAGAATATAGACCGAGTCTCATATTATATTCCTTTTTGTTTTCTTACGTACTCAGGCATCGAAACGATATAAGGCTGTCAGACCACGTGCGGGGAACCTGGACTTTCTTTTGTCTTGACACCTCAACTTTTCTTTCCTTCACAACTCACTATGGTTTCCAGGTCCTTTGCAGTTGTGATCTGTCATGGCTCCTACCATACTCCCGCCCCATATCAGCCTCTTGTTGAAGCCTTGACGGCGAAGGGAATTGAAGCCTATTGTCCCCAACGGCCCACTTGCGATCTCAGTCAGCTCAATGTCGGAAACCTTAACAACCCAGATTTCGACCGCAGAGCTCCCCCAGGAGGCTATCCACTTCCTGCAGATGACGCGACAGATATTGGGCTGCTGCTTGACAAGTTGATTGCACAGGGGAAATTGGTACTTCTCGCAGGACACTCCTCTGGTGGTTGGGTCGCCGCCGAGGCTGCGCAATCTTCTCGCCAAGCTCCAGTCCGTGCAAGGGAAGGAAGGACAGGTGGTGTCATTGGGATCTTCTTCATCGGAGCATTCATTGTTCCGCAAGGCCAATCAGTCCACTCGTTCTTCCAGCCCCCGGACGGCAAAGTTGTTGTGCCTCCGTTTATGGAATTCCACGTGGGTTGACCAGCGAACCAACTTATGTTCGTAGATACTAACCGTTAATAATAGAAACATGGTGTGAGTGGCCTCGGAACCATGGTCAACCCTGAACAATATCTGTTCAACGACCTCGACGGGGCGACCGCGAAGAAGTGGGCATCGACATTGACAGCAGCCCCCGTCATGAATAGTCCCCTTACCCATAATCCTTATGATGTGCTCCCTTGCGCCTATCTTGTGTTGGAAAAAGACCGTACATTGCCCAAGGAGTATCAAGAAGGAATGGCAGCGAGTCAGAGCAAACCGTTCAAGGTCTACCGTGCACCTTGTGGTCACTCTCCACACCTTAGTTGGACAAATGGGCTTGTTGCGAAGGTGGAGGAATTTGGAAACCAGGTTCTAGCTGAAAGCACAGCAAATTAGGTGATATCTAGAAATAAATATCTCTTGGAAATACATTAACATGAGTTACACTCGAACAAAACCAAAGGTTTGACGAATGAGGTGAAAGAGGTTTTGTGCAACGCGCCTTCCATTCGAAGTCAAACACTCCCTTTTCCACTTTCTCATTTCTTCCTCCCTTCAACTTTTCCAATATCTTCAACAATTCCCCATCTCTTCTTCCATTCCGTCATGGATACCCCTCGCTATGTATTTGGTGCTCAAGGATTTGGTGTGGCCTGGACGGCCGACAATGTCGACCACTTGATGAATAGTCTCACAAAGACTGGAATCAATGAATTTGACACGGCTGCCCTGTATCCTGCCACTAATCCCGGTGCATCTGAGAAACTACTCGGTGAAAAGAGACCAAAGGATGCGGTCATCCACACCAAGGTTCTATTCAGTGTTGATGACTCTTTGTCCTTCAGAAACATAGGAACCTCTATCATGGCTAGTTTGGAGCGATTGCAAGTTAAGAAGGTGGGTTAAAATCCTACACTGGTCATGATCAATGTTAATACGGCTATTTAATCAAGATCCACACCCTCTACGCTCATGCCCCGGACCGCAAAACCCCGATTCCTCTGCAAGCCGCACACTTCGACCATTATTATCGTGAGGGATATTTTGAAAGACTGGGTCTCTCCAACTACAGTCCATCTGAAATCCGTGCCTGGATGGAAATTGCAGTGCAGGAAAATTTGATTATGCCTTCTGTCTACCAAGGCCAGTACAACGTCTTCTGTCGAGGCTACGAGGATCAGCTTTTCCCCCTACTTCGTGAGGTCGGGATTCACTTCGAGGCAACCTCGCCCTTGGCGGGTGGATTCCTTACTGGAAAACTTTCCTATTTTCCATCACCCGAACAGTTGGAGGGTACTCGTTTCGAGGTCGGAGAGGGTAATATGCTCGGTGCAGTCTACCGCATGTGGTACGACCAGCCTGTCTATCACCAAGCGATGCGATCATTGGATAATATTAGTAAAAGGCTGGGGACTACGGGGGCCCAATGCGCCCTGCGCTGGTTGCTTTTTCACTCCCACTTGAAGGATCCTGACCGAGTTGTGATCGGACCAAGTTCCCTGAAGCAGCTTCAAGACTATGTTGATGCCCGGAAGGCCGGACCACTTCCAGCTTATGCAGCAGGCGAGATCAGTGCGCTTTGGCCGAGCCTGAAGGAAGTTGCAGCAACGATCATTGAGAAGGGATGGTGGTCTCTGTGATTGGTATGTTTAACTTTCAGGGGATCACGACCACATTTCCCAAAAAAAAAAGAAAAATATCTACAGGATGACAGGTTATTGATAAGCGATCATCAGGCTGGACTACAAGTATGCACTCATCTAGTTAAGTTTTCAGCCCACAAATACCTAGGTACTCACAAACTCCTCCGTACGAGCAATTGTATCTCCCAGTTCTTCATAGGTATTTTCCCAGCGGTATCATCCCTTCTAATCAGCTTGCGACTTACACAATCGCCCATTCTCCACCACTGTCCAAGCCTCACTTCCCACGGACTTGAAAGCGTAGAACCTGCTGTGAGGATCATACTTTTTTTTAATCTCTAACAAAATGTCATAGTTATCCCCATAAAACGCCTGCTGCCAATCTATCTGATTTGGATCAGCTTCATTTAAATATGCACCACTTCCGGGTGTCAACTCTTCTAGCTGGGGCATGAGAACGTTCGTAATAAGTTGCTGGCGGGCAACATCGGTATCCCAATCAGCATAGTCGAAGTTCCTATAGTAAGATTAATAAAGGCTTGAATGATCCTAAAAGGGAATTCTTTTAGAAACACATACGCCCCCATTACAATGTCCATCAACGCATCTCGCCAGGCTGGATTGACACTGTTGTCGGGATATGCAACTCGAGACGAGTTGACCATTATTCCTGAGATGAGGAACCCGTCGTTTCCTTCGACAATATTCCGCAATGTGGTGGTTAGATCCGCTAGGTTCTGCTCGACTACGGACCTTGGAATTAGGCGACCACCAAGAAGTTGATCTGTTATGTTGTTCGGCGGGCTCATCGTCTGGTATGCGTCGTAGTATGTGGGGAAATCGTCCACATAATATGCTGTTCAGCCTCCGTCAATGTTCGTTCTGAATTTTGGAACTTTCTTTTTTCACTTACTATGCTGTAAGTTGTTTTGTTGGAGGAATTCAATCAAAGGACTAAAAAGAGAATTGAAAAGCGTCGCTGTTCTGCCCGGAATAGTAGTAGGCGCCGTTGCCAGTGTAGTGTTAGTTAACCACCAAACACTTGCACCTCCAGCGTCCCCGATCGAGGGAAGAATCGATGTGAATTTTGCGACCGCGGCAAAGAATGTATCTCGCGATACACCCGTGTCAGAGAAGGAAATGTTACCCGACACCGTCCGCAGCTCAGGATAAGCCTTGCTCGTCATCGACACAACAACACCGTAAGTTCCTCCGCCTCCACCTGAGAGCGCCCAGTAAAGATCCGGATGTTCCATTGGGGATGCAGTTACCAGTTTCCCATTTGCGAGAACGACCTCCCATTCCAGGACCTGGTCAGCAGCGAGTCCTACCTGGGACACCATTTGGCCATGACCGCCGCCTTGGGAATACCCCCCTGCCAGCCCGACCGTGGCACAGTTGCCTCCCACGATAACAAGTCCAGCTTTATAAGCTGCCTCGCTACCTTCAAAGGATTGAACTCCAGCTCCCACCTTCACGGCTTTGCCGGAATAGTGCGGCGAGACGTATTCCACAATAGAAATATCCTTCATGTAATGCATCCAGATCGCCAGTCCTCCAGCTCCAGTGGACTTCCCAAGCAGATCATGTCCAGTATTGCGGATAACGAGGCGGATGTTGTGACGGGCTGCAAAATTGATCGTCTCCCGAACATGTGCGACATCTGTCGCATTCACAGCGTACTGGACATAATTCCCGATCGTGCAAGGTGATCGTCTCGATGAGAAGGGATTGCAGCTTAGATTCGTGAATCTTGGCGCCATAATGGATGAGGGGTTTTCATAGTGTGTTTTCGGGAAACCCCAATTGGACTGGAGTTGGTCGCATTGCGATTTATCGTACGGGGCGAACGAGTCGATGTGACACACGCTGGCGATTGGGATTGTTGCAATCAACCTTCCATGCACTGTTTTGTTGAATCGCGCCCATAGATTATGTTCAGGCCAGCATGGGTCTTGTGGCATGCACCGGCAAATAGGGGACCTTGTATGATTTGCGACTGAAAGCCCACAAACCACCGTTACAACCGAAAGGACAAGAAAGCAGGCCTGCTTCCACGCGAGGCAGGGGGTGGCCATTGTGACACTCGGTTGGGCTCACTTAATTTTGCTGGAATTGGGCGAATTATATACTTGTACTAGAGGTTTGGCGCTGGGGAAATACCACGTTATGGAATGTGAGATTCAACCAGCCACTCGAAAACAGCACGCATTGCGCGGATTGCATACGAGACCTGATATACACCGACATTATTTTGACCCCTGCAGGTTACCCCCTTGCCTCTATTTTCAGGCATCTAAATCAAATCAAATCAAAGTTGATATAACCTGTTGCAGTCTAACTAGTTGCGTATGACTATGCAGGCGCTTCATCCAGCTGAAGCAAGAACTCGAAGCCAAACGCCGAGTTGGGATCACTCCCAAGAGTAAATACAGAGGTTGATTTGTAAAGAGTGTGGAATCAGCCCATTCCTGCATACTGTAAACCCACAAACCCATACACAAGGAAAAATATCAAATGAATGCGGCGGAGTGCACCCTCCGCCTTCCGCCTCCTATCTCTCTCCTCCCTGTATTCTCCCCCCTCTCCAGTTGCAATCGGTGGTGTGTTATTCATGGCCAGTTGCCTGGCATGCTTGTCGACTCTGGCTGAGCTTCTCGTTTCCCAGCTTCGTTTTCGTCATTGGCTGATACCCATCGTCTTCCACACCTAGATCTATTGCCGCAAGGCCTACCGGTTCGTCATCGTCGTCCTCGATCCCAATATGTTGGAACTGCCGGAGGAGACTTGTTTGGTGTATGAATTTGACCACGTAGCGGGTGGCCTGCGGGTTCGAAATGATCTTGTCGTAATCTATCTCGATACCGAGATCATACAACTGGTCCCATAATTTCGTGCGCGGCATGGTATACCGCGGGCACTGCATCAGAATTTGTTTTGGTGTCTGCGAGCCCTCGTCACATAAACACCGGTCGGACTCTGCCGCCTTGATCTTGAACAAGAAGTGACGCAGCCCGATCCGTATTGTGCGTATCTGAATCAGGATCGCACACTGCGGCTTCGTCAGTCCCTCGTATAGTCGGAGTGTCTTCTTATTCGGCGCCTGCACCAGGCGTTTCGTCGGCGCGGAGGTTGTCTCACGCTCCTATTGCCGCTCCTATCGCTCTCTGATTCGCTGGCGTACCGCTGTCTTAGCAGCTGCGGCGAGGCGGATAATCGGTTCTCTCGTCCCGCTCCCGGTCGCAGCTCCTATCCCCGCGCCAAGAAGCGCTGCACCTTGCGCTTCGCAGTCGGCATATTCATTACCGTCCACACCAACGTGTGCGAGGATCCACCTGATGGTGACAGTTGTTGGATTTTGTCGGGTTTCATTTTGCGACCGGATGGTTCGTACATGATCGTATGCTAACCCGAGTATGTACTGGCCAGATGGTCGTTGTGGGTTTTGGACTGCCTGGATGGCAGCCTGGCTGTCTGAGAAAATGGTCACTTCTCGAGCCGTTTGATATTCTTTATCATTCCTGATTTTGGCGAGTGCCATCTCAATACCACTGAGCTCGGCAGCGTACACCGTGGACTGGGAGTCTGTCCCAAGATACCTTCTTTGTGAGCTTACACCTTGCAAGAGATTGACCATTGATGCGCCAATGTGTCCTGCGAGTCCGCTTCCATCTGTGGAGATCATGCTGGCCTCATCTGTGCACGCCGCACTATCATAAATGCTGTTTTGGGTTTTTATTGCGGCTTCTTGGTTCTCAATGTAACATGGGATCGGTGCCTCCCATGGAGCAAGCACGAATACTTGTTTTTCTTCCCATTTTTCTCCCATTTGTAGTCGTAGTGGCTTCTTTTGTGAGATTGCCTCGGTCGGAGACCACCCTCCGAGTCTCCTTTGTACTGGTTTTCTTGTTTCTTTAGCGGTTCGTGGGCATGCCCACTGCGGGCCGGTGAGGATCCGGATGGCGGTTTCTTCGACGACTTGCTGAAGTCGTAATTTAATTGGAAGGAGAAATATTTATGTGTCGAGCGCTGCCCCCGCTGTCCCGCGGAAAGCACCGCTGATCAGGATTGCTGCTCGTTTCTGGATTTTTGTGAGTTCATTGGTGAGTTTTTCGAGGTCGCCTTTCGGCCTGGCTGCCGGGCAGTACCACGCAGACAGTCCCCATAGTATCTGTGGGATGATGACTGCCTGGTATACCTTCCGCATTGCGATCAGTGATGATCCCCAAGTGGAACCTGAGATCCCGCGGAGCGCTTCCAAACTGCCAGCTCCCTTTGCAACCATCTTCTTCCGGTGTATTGTGAAATTTGGGTGTTTGTCAAGCCATACCCCGAGGTATTTGGCCGTATCGGTTGGTGTGAGAATTGCTGGTGTTTCGCCCGGTATTGTAACCGGCATACCGTCATGGCCTGACGGGTCGTCTGGTATCTCCCAGATGTCTGTAGCCGGCTGTGTTGTGTCGGGTTCGATCGTGAACGTATCAGGCTCGATCGTGGGCATATCAGGTTTGATCGTGGATGCGTCAGGTTTGATTTTTGGGTTGGCGAAGTGTATCAGTTCGAACTTGTCGGGTGCAAATTTCGCGGCATGTTTCTTGGCCCAAGAGCTTGCCCTTTGCAGGGCTTTCTCCAGCACCTGGACATTCTCTTCATAGCTTTTTGAGACTGCAAGAATGCATACATCATCCACCCAGTCGGCCCCGGCAGCCAAAAGGGCACGCCACTCCACCGGACACAGGGATATCCCCCAACCGACCCCGGAGCAGCGACCCAAAAACCGCTGCGCCTGGTCCCCAGGACGCCGAAGCCGACACACCTACCTAATGGCCAAAAAGGGCCTACTGGGTAACCGTAGACCCGCCTCAACTGACGAGGAACGGGCCGAGTGCGCCCGAATCATCCAAGATGCCGAGGCGGCGCAAGGGTTCACAGGCACCGAACAAGCACAACCGTCGAGCCAGCCTACGCCAGCCAGATCAGGGCCCACCGGCCCCGAGCCAGCAAGCCGGCCAAGGACCACCCGCTCCAAAGCCGCCCCCGCCAGCTCGCAACCGACGCCCTCCAAGCGCCCCAGACAGTGAACCCCGCACTCTGCGGATACTGCAATACAATGTCGAGAACTCACTCGACCACGTGATGGCACCACTAATGCGAGACGAACATATTCTGGACTATGCCGTTATATGTGTCCAAGAGCCCTGGGTCCTCAATATCACAGAAGCCAGGAAACAATTTGACCTCTTCTGGCCAACCATATCCCATGAGTTCAAGCCCAGAGTCTGTACCTTCGTGCGAAAAGACCTTAATACGCAGCTGGTCCACTTCAGCCAACACGCTATCTCGATATATATCAGCGGATACAATAGAATCAGATGTATCTATTGGTGCGGTGATCCTGCTACACAGTAGATATTGATAATAATTGATTGATTGCTTGTCACTAACTAGGATCGAGAATGCTAACTATTTTGATATTCGAGTCTGGGTTGGAAACGGTCACATGATCCAGCATGTGACACTCACGTGACCCAACATCCCCCTTCAGACTCTAATCTCATCAAGACAATTCTCCATGAAAATCCAGTTGTCTCCTTTCGTTGTTGTTGTTTTTTTTTTTTTTTTTCATTGTATGCTTCAAATGCAGAGATAGAGCATATTGACAAATGTTTCGAATTGCTCTCTCTCCAGTGGCTTTGTCAGTCTATCAGCCACATTCCTCTTTGTGTCAACTCGTAGAATATTAATCTTTCCGAGGTGCACTGTATCCTTAACGAAAAACCACTTAAGATCCATCCAACGAGTAGAGTTCTTAGCACCCTTCTTTGTCATGAGAATATGCGTGTTAATATTGTCAGTCAGGATAACAATTGGCTTTTCAGTATCTTCCAGTTAAAGCGACTCCGCAATTTTCTTTAGCCATTGTGCGTCTCTTGCGGGTCTGTTAAGTGCACACCACTCAGAGGCAGTTGATGAAGGCGTGTTAATAGTCTGTTTCCTTGAATTCTAGATAATCGGAGCACCAGCAAAGAACCAAATTGTTCCTTCAGTTGACTTCTTGTCTGGCCAGTCTCCGTGGGAAGTATCTGTGTAGGCGTAAAAGCGTTGGTCCTTAACACATCCCAGAGTAATCGCAAAATCCTTTGTTCTTTTTAGATAACAGTAGACCTGTCGAGCAGCCTGGAGATCTCTTTCGGTAGGATTAGCAGCCCGATGTTGAAGTTTCATGACTGCAAACTTGATATCCGGTCTTGTCTCCACTGCTAACCAATTGAGACGTCCCACTATTGATCTGTATCTGGTGTGTTCTTTTCCGTGAAGAAGTGTCTCCGGGTCTTCGTTTTCATTATCCCAGATCCAGGAGGATGAAAGTGGGATTGCTGCTTCCTTACAATTCTGCATTTCTGCGAGTCGAAGAATTTCCTCAATATATACTTGTTGGGAAAGAGTGATTGTTCTGTTTTTGTAATCTCTCACGACTGCACTTCCAAGAAAACGTGATGGTTCACCTATGTCCTTAATATCGAATTCAGATTGAACTTCCTTAAAGATTTGGTCCACTTCTTCCTTGGTTGGAGCAGCAGCAATGAAATCGTCAACGTGTACAATCAGGTACCAGGCTGTCTCACCCGAACCTTTTATATACACACAGGGGTCGTCGTCAAGAGGTACAAAACCTATATTGTTGAGTTTTATATTCAAGTCTTCATTCCACAGCTTCGCCGAATCACGTAGTCCGTAAAGCGCCTGGTTTAGCTGACAAACCCAGCCTTTGGGACCAATTTCTGGCTCACTGTATTCAAAACCAGGTGGTTGTATAACGTAAATGACTTCCTCGTGTTCCCTCGACGCATTGAGGTATACTGCAACTGCGTCAAACTGCTTCCAGGCGTAGTTTCGTTGCGCAACAATTGTAAAAATGATCTTGACAAGAGTATTCGAGATAACCGGCGAATAGAAGATTGAGTCTTCCTTCTTTTGTTGATGGTTTCCACAGACAACCCATCTTGCTTTGAATCCGTAAACCTCATTTTTGTGGTTCACCTTAAGATCAAAAACCCACTAGCTTGGCAGAGCCTTTGCTCCCTTAGGTTTTCTCACAACTTCGTAAGTCGCCTTTGCAGTAACATTATCAATTTGATCTGCCATTGCTGCAGTCTATCTGTCGGAGAATTTGCATTTTATTGCTTGCACAACAGATTTTGGGATCTGCACATCTTTGACCAGAAGTGGTTTTCCATCGTAGACAAAAGGATTATCATGAGTCTGTCTGGATACCGCTCGTTTTGCAGAGAAAGAAGGGATAGATTCCTCCTCTTCTTCCTTTACCTAGACAGATGTTTCTCTGCTCCTAGATAGTCTCCTCTCCGCACTTTCTCTCTTTCGACGTTCTGTCAGTAGAGAAGGTGGGTTTGGATCTATATAGCGCTCTGGAGAACGGCGAACACGGGACGAACGACGTGGAATTGTTTGGGAAGATTCCATCGAGAGAGCTGAAGAATCTCTTGTTGTTGGAACTGAAGATAGCGAACTCTCTGGTTCTTCTCCTCCCTTATTCAATCTTTCTTGGGTCTGTTTCTCCAGTTGGTGTTGAATTTGTATGGGCTGAATCACCCGTGCTTGTTCAGGAATTTCCTGGGTTTGTTCAGGAATTGGCGGGGTCTTTTCAGACTGGAATTATATACGTTCTTCCTCTTCTAGGCGTAAGAAGTCCTGGTAGGTTGAAATAATATCACTTCCTTGGGATACTGTCGATTCAAGAACTATTTCTGAATCAGTTGTAGGTTCCACACGAGGATCTTCCTTATCGTGAGAGGCTCGCTGGTCTGGAACTTTAATATCCACTGTCTGTTTTATAACTTGAAGCGTAGGCTTTTCTTGCTGAAGAATCTGTTGGCCTCCCTTAGGTTAGGGTGAAGAAATACTCCACTTTTGATTTATCCTTAATGAAGGAGAAAGACTGTCCCTCAAAAGGTGTGGTCGTGGGGTCTCAGAAACCCTAACAATTTCAAAATCAGGTGTCTCCGACCGTTCAATAGAAGGGATTGGGATATTGGGAGGGTCCTCAAGAATTGGAGAAAGAACCTGTATCTCCTTCTGTTGTCTTTTCCTAGGCTGAGGTGGAATTTTCGGCAAAGGATTGATTTTCGATTGTTTATGTTGCAGATATATCTCCGGAGGATTCACCGGATTCGGTCTGTGAACTTGTTCATGAAGCTTCCTATTTGCTTTGACTCTCTCTCTAAGATCTTTGGTTGATTCTTTGAGAGAACTGGCTGTCTGAGATCCAGTTGGTTGGCTATTTGGGACCGGTCTCTTTGGAATGACCACCTCGATATTTGACTGACGAGGCTAGAAAATTGGTTGTCTTAAAGGAGAACTAGTCTGAATAGCAAAGTGCCTTTTCGGAACCTATGGAGTCGGGTCAAGAGTCTATACTGTTCCTGGAGTATCCGGACCGATCGAAATCCGTTCCGGGAGCTTCTTCTGGGTCACTTCCTCTTCTGAGTCGGAATCAGTTTCAATCTCCTGTATCCTGGGTCGGGGTCGTGGTATCCTGAAAGGATAACGCTTCTTTTCTTTAAAAGCATCAAAAACCATAGCTTCTGCACCCTGATCATCGGAATCTGGATCCTTGGGTTTCGGTTTTATTCTCGGAGTATCCCCCTTCAGATCATTGTCTCTATGATCTGCAAAAGGAAAAGTAACATCTCTCGATCGATGAATCCTGTTTGTCTCCGTGTCCCATACCTGGTAGATATAGCCATTGTCTCCTTCGTAACCGACAAGGTAGCACTTAGTTGCTCGTGGTTCCGATTTCTGGGATTTGATTCGTCTTTCCTCTGGAATGTGTATAAAAGCTGTTTCACCCCAAGCGCGAAGAAAAGAGAGATCAATAGGCTCCATTGTATCGTAAAGTGGATCCTATCCCTTCCGAAACTTAGTGATCGGAATCAGTCCAGTGTGTGGATTCGCCAATCTATTGTAGATATAGGCTGCTGTTTCCACTCGGAGAGGCCACAGTTCATCCGGAAGCTTAGCGTCCAGACCCATTGTCCTTTGTATCTTATTGATCACACCACCCATTCTCTCTGATCTTCTATTTGCCTGGGGAGTGTACGGCGGAGAAATCTCCACAACCATACCTTCACTTTGTTGACAGGTCATGTGACTTGCATGTGATCTCCCAGTACTTTAGTCTTAGCATGTAGATAGTTTCTTCTCTTCTTCTCTCTCTTTACGCGCAATACAGAGATTTCCAGTTATCCCTACATCTTCATTGTAGTTACTGCTTATCTCTCTCACACTTTCACCCTATTTCTTGAAAACAAAGAATTCCGTTCCACCATCGCAGCGGAAAAAGGCAGGCAATCTCTGTCTCAGCAAACGCTGTCGTTTAGCGTACTTGATCAGAGCTTCAGAGACTTGATCTTTCGTCTGAAGAGTGATTGTATCAATGTGTCCAGTCGCATCGTCAATGATTGGAATATAGTAGCGCTTACCACCAATACCAACTGGTTGAATTTCTTGAGTGTCACAGTGGAACTTGACTCCTGGTTGACTGTGTCTCTTCTGGGGAGTTCGTGAAATCTGTCTTTTCGACTTCCCTAGTTCACAAGGTTCACAGGTATTACCAGATTGACCGCTATTCAACGACGCGCAGCACACGGGATCTCAGGTGCCTTCCGAACGGTCTCCGCCGACGTGCTCAATACTCAGCTCCACCTCAAGCCTATAGCCCAACGCCTGGAGGAGGGTAGGTTGAAAGCCCTGACTCGCCTGGCTACATCCCCAGCATACCGGGCAATACGTATACGGCGCACATACCACCGAATACGTATCCTCCACACCGCTTTGGAGACTGCGGAGGAGGACCTCCAGTTAGAAGGGGAGTATAACATAGACGAGATGGAGGTCCGCCTCCCATTCGCCGTACCGCCATGGTGGGAACCCCCACAAGTGGACAGCGCAGCCAGCAAGGAAGAAGCAGCATTCGTCCACTGGATGAACAACACCATCCACCCAGACACCCCCCGTATCTATACAGACGGATCAGGCCACCACGGGGAGATTGGCGCATCCGCGTACTTTAAACCACTGGGAAACAGTCCCGCGATTGAGCGATCGGCGTACTTCGGAAGCGAAAGACACCACAATGTGCACGCAGCGGAGATCGGGGGCCTGATACTCGCACTACGGATGACCCTCGACAACCCCCAACTCCAACGGGATGTCAATGTCTACTCAGACAACCAAAGCGCCCTGCAGGTGATTCGGAACCCGCGCCAGAACAGCGCCCAATACCTGATCAAAGAAGTCGTCCGACTCCTGGATTACCGCCGCCAGCAAGGCTGGACCACCCGCTTCTTCTGGATCCCAGCCCACTGGCACGAGGAAATCACGGGCAACACCCACGCCGACGCCCTCGCCAAGAAAGCCACCGGCTGGCGCGAGGAGGAACGGGACACCCTCGGTCCCCGGGCAGAGCACCTAGCCGGCCTACCCCCCAGGACGTTACAGTCGGCAGTCAACTGCTGGGTCCGCCGAAAAGTGAAACAGGCGTGGGAGGACAGCTGGGCCAATCCCACAGCCAACGCACCGGGAAGAGACCTCAGGAGGGTCATGCCACACCTCGAGAAGCACGGCCTAGACCTCTTCGCGAGGCTCACGGCCCCGGAGCGCTCGGCGCTGATCCAGGCGCGCACCGGCCATATCGGGATCAATGCAGTCCTCTTCAGATGGGGGAAAGTGGACTCCCCCGACTGCCCACACTGCGAAGGAGAAGACGAGACGCTAAATCACGTCCTCTTCCTATGCATGAGTTACGCAGGTTTACGAACCGAGATCTGGGGTGCACAACGGGCACCGAGGACACTGCGCCAGGCACTGGGGCCAGAGAGTGCCAAGGAGACAGCACGCTTCCTGCTGGCTACAGGGCGTCTGCAGTACCTCCTACCCCCAACACCAATACCGGACGACGACGAGACCGACACCGATCATTGAAATACTAACCAACAGCACACACACACACACTACCTCTCGGCCCGAAACGGGACAACAACGACCCTCTCACAAGGAACCATACGCACGCGGCAAAGGTTCAAACCTGATGGGGAAGGCACCTCCAGGGGAAGCACACAGCGCGTGACTCCGTTAATTTACCGCACTCCCGATCCGCCCTCATGATTCACTCTTTGACACAAAAGACGACGTGAGCCGTGGCAGCGGGGATTCTAGCAGGCTTTCTTGATAGAGGGGAACAACGGGCACACAACAGGGCACAGAGGCATACGGGGGCAAAGAAAGACAAAGCCAAACCGAGACAGAATGTAACGGATAAAGATCCTTACAACCTGGAGACTGACAATACGGGAGTCAGCTGATATAGGATCAATATATAATCAGCCAAGTATCGTGACCTGATCGTGAGTAGACTGCGGTATATCCGCTCCAATGGATATCAGATCGATCCTTATATCCGCAATTTGCGGATATTGGATATGAGTTGATATCCACATCCGCACTGCGGATATGAGTTCATATCCATATCCGCACTAGCATAACTCTCGCTTACTTTCCCCCTTATAGCCTATCACATGATCTTAATGCAGCTTACCAATATTTCCTTACCACTGAAATAAACGTATGTTTAGTCTTGACAGAACCAACCCCTTAAATCGACGGTCGGCACTTTGAAATTTTAGGAAATAGACATGTATCGAAGGTCTCCTTATACAGTATTTGTAGGTGGTCTTATAGTTTTCTTAGTCCGACGTTATATTGTAAAGGTGGCCGTAGATTGACGATTTTGTGGTAAGTTATACGTAGAAATATATATTTACCTACTGTCAACCATAATAAACTTCGTAGGAAACAGAACATAGAAAATCAAAACTGTTATTATTAGATAAATTCTTTTAGTTTTAGGCTCAAATAAAAGCTAAAAGTCCTATCTATCTACTGATTATTTTTTTAATTTGTTCCGACTACTAGAACTTGAGAAATCCGAGATAGAAGTTCTCGAAATGCGGACTTAACGAGTTTCGAGGTCTTGCGGATATCTTGTGGATATCCACAATTAGACTGCGACATCGCCCATGGACGGGCGGGTGGGCAGTGCCCACGGGCCTTATATAAGCGGGCGATGGGCACTATCAATACGCCCATGGACGGGCCCTACCCTTAGGGCCCATTGTCCATGGACACCGTGGGCGCCCGTGGGCCTTTTTAGTAAGCAAAATTAGCGCAACACGTGATTTTTATTGACAGATTTCAAAATATTTCAACTAAATTTATATTTTTTATATATTTACAATCATAATTCCGGATTTTTAATAAGATATATATAAATATATATACTATAATTTACTATATATCTAATTTTTATATATATTTAAGACAACTTTATATAATGGTGGGCATCGTGGGCATGCCCGTGGGCCTTGGGCGTTATGGACGGGCACTCGAAAATCTAAATAGCCCAAGGCCCACCGTGGACGGGCGATGGGCACCTCCTAGGTGCCCACGGACGGGCGATGTCGCAGTCTATCCACAATATATCCACAGTATATCCACAAAATATCCTCAAGATATCCTCAAGATATCCTCAAGATATCCTCAAGATATCCTCAAGATATCCTCAAGATATCCTCAAGATATCCTCAAGATATCCTCAAGATATCCTCAAGATATCCTTAAGATCCGCAGGATATCCTCCAATTATCCGCACTAATATACAACACAGCCAATCATCTAGGTAAACCACATCAAAAGTAAGTCTAAGTCAGAATATCCTAGTACGTTTACTTTACCCCTGAAAACCTCTACTAGTTCAGATGTAAGCCTCTCTATTCTTTTAAGCACCCTACTATATTACATGTTATAATTGTTAACTTCTCAATGTCTCAATCACAGTTCTTATTCACCAATTCGGATATAGATTTAGCTTCTGATCGGATTTATCCTGACAACTTCTCTGATTTTTTGGGTATCCAAACACCGGTCCCATCGATATCGCCGACTCGTTCAACCTTTGCGCCCTTATCCCTTACTCGCGTCGGACCTCCCCTTCAAAAGCACTGGGTTTTATATCCATCTGATTCTATGTGTGATGATATAGAGGACTTACGGAATAAATTCGTTAGTTGGTGGCTTACAACTGAGTATGGATCTCAGTCTGATATAAAGAACACAATTCGATGGGAATCAAAAAGCAAATCGGATATCTGGGACAGCTTCTACCAGGTTGCGAATAACAAAAATGGAAAGCCGAAGGTTATGTGTAAGGCATGCCTCTGTACAATTGGCCATCCAAGATTCCGGCGTGCTGGTTCTTCGCCTATGACAGCGCACCTCAAAACTGGAGCATGTTCAAAGAAAAGTGGCCCGAGAATCGACCAGCTTATCAAAAGAATGGTATGTTAACCGGGTTACTTAACTGGTGTTACTACAGTAGGCAAGTCCTTTATAATTTAGCAGCTAACATTAAGTACTACAATCTAGCCAGGTACCACTAGTATATCATTCACCCAAGACCGTCTCTCCGATGCTATTCTGAGATTCATTTCAACTGCACATCTGCCCTTTCGAGTGATCGAACACCCCCAATTCCACCGCATGTTAGAGGTTGCTCAGCAATCATCCACTAAACTTACGATTCCATCAGCACGAACCATTCGACGTCATCTCGATATCACAGTCCAGAATAACCAGAAGGGGATTCTACAGAGACTTCCAGAGGGGTGCCGGCTATCGATAGCCTTGGATTGCTGGACTTCTCCTTTCCAGCAGGCCTTTATGGCTATCACTGGTTACTTTATCGATCATAACTGGGATTACTGTGAGGTTCTTCTAGGCTTTGAGCCTCTCCATAGCTCCCACACTGGTGAAAATCTCAGTAAAACCGTGACCCAGATCCTAACAGAACATAGTATCTCGGATCGTATCCTGTCAGTGACCACAGACAACGCAACCAACAACAATACTTTGATGCAGAGTATCCAGGAGAACCTTCAGTCTCAGCATTCATCAGATATCTCGATCTTCCGCGTCCCATGCATCGCGCATGTGATCCAACTGAGTCTCAATGAGCTTCTTGGGAAGCCTAAGGCAGTGCCAAGTAATAAGGAGATCGAGTTAGAGTGGTCTGACGAAAAAACCCACTCCTTCCAGAATAAGCGCAATATCTCCGGCGGTATCCAGATCACAGATACATTGAAAAAGGTATATCTTCTACCCCTAGATCCTTATAATGGCTAGACTAATAAAAGTATGGAAGATCCGAGGACTAGCAGTCTTCATTAATGCAAGCCCACAACGTCGGGAGGCATTTATGGCCCTGCAGCCGGAGCCTGCATTGATTCCAATCCAAGATGTTCGGACACGATGGAACTCAATATTTCTGATGCTCAACCGGGCCAAGAAGCTCCAGCCATTCTATGATCAGTATTGTACTGATCATCAATATCTTTATTTCAAGCTCGATCAAGAAGAGTGGCGTCAAGTCGAATATCTTCTTCTTCTGACAAAGCCCTTCTTTGATTTCACAATGATGCTGTCAAAGACCAAGGATATTACCGCACACAATATCTACAGTATCTACAACAAGCTTTTCTCCTATCTCGATGCAGCCGAGGCGAAGCTTAAGAATAAAGGTGTGATCTGGAAGAAACGGATGTTGCGGGCACTCCAAACAGCAAAGAAAAAGCTCTCCAAGTACTACACTGCCACCGAATACGAGCCTTATGGTGACATCTACGCTCTAGCAACAATCTTCTCTCCATCAAAGAAGGTCCGGTACTTTTCCTCGACTGATTGGCAGGGCGATATTGATTATGTGAATCGTTATCAAGAGGTCCTAAACCGAGAGTTTGATCGATATAGGAAGATGCTTACCTATGATGCCAATGACCTAGCGGCACTGGAGACTTCTGGAGTAGCTATTGATGAGAATGATGACTGTGATCTTGATGCTGCTTGTGCATCGCAAAACCAGCCATTGGAAGAGCTTGCAAAACCAGATGACAACGAGATTGCACGATATCTTGCTCGTGGAACTGAGCGACAGAAACCTCGACTTTTCTGGAAGGAACATGAGCAGAGCTTCCCGACCCTGGCAAGGATGGCAAGGGACATTCTATCTATCCCTGCTAGTGGTGCTGGTGTTGAACGACTATTCAATTGTGCTCGTGATATCTGTCATTACCGTCGTGGTCAATTGAAGCCGAGTACAATCCGTGGCCTGATGCTGCATCAGTTTGCTACCAACTTTGATCTTCGATATGAGGAGC